TTTTTGTGAGACGGAGTCTTGCTCTGTTGCCCAGGCTGGAGCGCAGTGGCACCATCTCAGCTCACCGCAAGCTCTGCCTCCCAGGTTCATGCCATTCTCCTGCCTCAGCCTCCTGAGCAGCTGGGACTACAGGTGCCTACCACCACGCCTGGCTAATTTTTTTGTATTTTTAATAGAGACAGGGTTTCACCGTGTTAGCCAGGATGGTCTTGATCTCCTGACCTAATGATCCACCCACCTCAGCCTCTCAAAGTGCTGGGATTACAGGCATGAGCCACTGCGCCTGGCCTATATTTTTTCAGTAATAAAATCATCTTGAAAATATTCTTTAGAACTCATAAGTTTGCCAGCTTGATATATTCTTAACAACTTTCCTATCATAAAAAATGTCATAATGTGATTTTAACCAGGTAAATGGGACACACCAAACAAAACTTGTGTATGTTTCCCAAGTTAAGGCTTCTTCAGTGGCAGAAAGGAATTTTACTATATACTTATTTCTTCCTTAATGATTTCTAGTCAACCATTTTCAGAAAAACTCCATGGTACCAATGATCTGATCTTTTAAGACCTAACTTGTAAAATTCCACAGCTCTGCAGGGTTTCTACAATATGATCATTAAATAGCTTCCTGACCTCAGATGCAACTAGAACCAACCCAGGAGAACCAAGGAAACCGGTTGTTCACACAGCTGCTACATAATTTAGTTCCTTCATCTAAGGAGCACTGTCCTCCTTCAGACCCTTATCAAATACTGGTATGTATGCTCTGCCTGCATCCTCTCTACCTCTCCTTTCTTGCCAAACTAGGCTTCATTCTTAAGTTTTGGGATATGAATTCTTCTGAGAAGCCTTTTCTGATCCTTTAGACTAGTTTCTCCTATGACACAGACTCATAGCACCCTGTTCTTGTCATTCACAGAACTCATCAAAATTGTAATTGAATACCTGGATACTTCATAAATTTGTTAAATGAATGAATTAATCCATAAGCATAAAGGAAACTCCTTTTGATGCCAATTTATGGATGTGGCTTAAATATTCTTTTAACATGATGACATTCACACTGAAAATACTCAGCATTAAGAATTGTTATACAGAGTCAACTTTTCACCCTAATTCCCTAATACTTTAGCTTGTGAAAAATGTAGAGCACTGACTAAGCTGAACTGTAAACTATTCTTGAGGAACAGCAAAAATGTAATGAGGGTTTCTACAGACAATTTACCATGCTGCCAGCATATAGCCATCATCTGGTATAGATAAAAGGTTGAAATCTTAGCAGTTATCTAAATGTTGTTTCCAAATGAGTATGATTAATTTGGTTAATAGACATACTGTAAGCTTTTCTTTCTTGAGGGTGAAACATAAATGAGCTTTCTGAAGTTTATGAATCCTAAATGTGTATATTATACATGACAAAAATGATAAGCAAACATTGTAGGTGGAAAAGCCATAAAAGGAATGGCCAGTTCTTAGGAGTTATTTGACAATTATATCCAAATGCTGGATCAATACTTATACCACAGACATATGGGACATCACACAGTCAAAAAGAATAAAAACCTTCACCTATACTGTAAGGTACTAGATCATCTTACCAGAAACTTTTTGTATTACTTCATTAACTTCCTTCATGAACACTTTCTGTACAAATACCAAGTGGTTTAGAAGATCAGTTGTAAGATTATGTTCAAAGGAACCAACCTGTCAGAAAAAAATCATATTAGATTAATGCTGATTACATTAGCTTTACTTTTTTCTTACATAAATCACCCTAAACTGAGGAAAAAGAGATAATTATCTATGATTTGAAATCAATATATTGAAGAAAAGTTAAAAATATTCAGAGTTCCTAATATGTTACTGGCCAAACACTATTATAGTCCATTCCCAAAATGGTTTTTGTTTTTTAATAATAGTAGTTAATAAGGTATGAGAAGTCTGGGGAGCAAATCAAAGTTATATATTTAACTTGCCAATTTTGAAATTAAATTTTCTCCTAGACTAAAATTTACTTTTAATGATCATTTTAATGGCCACTTTTGTGTCTTAGAATCACAGACGAGTTAAGTAAAAATAGATTTATTTATTTTTTTAGAGACAAAGTCTTGCTCTGTCACCCAGGCTGGAGCGCAGTGGCACAATCTCGGCTCACTGTAACCTCTACCTCCCGGGTTCAAGCGATTCTCCTGCCTCAGCCTCCTGAGTAGCTGGGACTACGGGCACCCACCACCATGACAGGATTTCACCATGTTGGCCAGGTTGGTCTCAAACTCCTGGCCTCAAGCTATCCGCCCGCTTTATCCCAAAGTGCTGAGATTACAGGTGTGAGCCACTACATCCAGCCAAAAACAATTTATTTAATCAAATATATATTTAATGACCGTCTATGTACCATGTTAGGTGCTAAGGATACGGCTATGAATAAAAACCAACAAAATTCTGGGTCTCAGGCTTACATCTGAGTGAATTAGCAAATCATCAGAGATACCCAATTAAGGTTTAATATAATTTGTGTCCTATAATTAGTACAAAGTATTAAATTTCTGGCAAATTAGTTAATAAACTAATTAGTTAATAAACCAATTTGCCAGAAACTATTTTCAGGTGTGTTTATTTCAGGCCATAGTAAAATAGGCAACTCTAAAAGGGATGCAATTTTAGATTCTTTGAAATGGTTGAAATTAAATACACTGTTTACTAAATTCGGGATTGTGTTCTGCCTCGTTACAAACTTATACCTTTCTAATATCTAGTATTAGCAAGGAATTATACAGCACACTGTATTCGTGTATGTTCTTTTAAATGGAACATTGATAGCAGGATGTCTAAACCGGAGCTTGGGGCTTTTAGTTTTCAGAGTAGAAAGCACAAGTGGGATACACCTTAAAATATTTTAAGTAAATCTCTGTTAGAATCCAAACACTATTTTTTTGTACACTTGTTTTTCACATACAGAAATCTCAACTCTTACAGAGGTTCCAGGGCAAGCAGGGCCTAAGAAGGTAAATCAGACTTAAATATGTCCCCCGTAGTTATAATATTTCTATCAGAGAACCCAAAGAGCATTCTTATAGATGCTGCAGTTTCTGGAGAACAAAATTTATAAAACAAAGAGCACATTGCTTTTTCATAAAGTTGTAACTGTTTTTGACAAACTGACGAGGTGAGCTGAGACACATCACAGGGTGCCTGGAGGCAGACCACTGAGGCGTGGCTCCTGTCTCTCTCAATTGATAGCTAGGAGACTTAAGGAAAGGTGTTTACTTCTCCGCTTCAAGTTTATATCAAATTAGGAAAATAACAGACGACCTGCTTACCACAAATCAAATGAAAAATGTGTCCAAATGCTTTTTAAACTTTTGACAGTTATACAAATATAAAGTGAAAAAATTATGATAGAATTAGATATGCTACTTTCAACTTAACCTTAGTAAAGAAATTAATCTGTAAGTCTAATTTATCTTTCAATATGACCTTTAGATTATCTTAATAATTATGTATACCTGTATGAATTATGTTAACTTGCTAAGGCTTAGTTTGCTCACCTACAAAATGAGAACAAATATTTCTACCTCATAGGATTTACTTAACCACTGCAGAAGTCAATGCGTGTAAAGCACATAATGAAAGTTAGCTGCGATTTGCTTTTAATAATCATTTGAACTACGAAAATATTGCAGAGATGGAATATATAACTAATACATATTTTTAAAAGCATGTTTAAATAAAACTACAGGGTAGTCAGACTAACAGACACAAAACACACATACACCCACACACACACTTGATTCAGTATAGAATTCTTCTGTGAAAACAAATGATTTTAAGACTTTACCTTAAAAGTTTGGATTACTACATATTTTGGTACATATAAATCTTGAAGCCTCCTAAATTACAAAGAGTAAGAAAATTTTAAAGTAAACTTACTTCTGCCACACAACGTAGATAATTTCCCTGTAAATAGTAACCTTGTTTAGAAGGCAGTTCATCTATACTCCACACCTGATCCGAATAACTATCATGTTCTTCCATTATATATTTCCCTGACATGGTAACAGGAGGAAGGTTAAGACTGGCAGAAGGAGGAATGGTTGACATATCTGTGGCAGAAACTTTTGAAGTAAAACGCAATCTGTGATTTGGCAGCTCAAATGTAAATCTTGTCTGTGCACCTGTAAGAAATGAGAAAAGTTATTGTTCGTGTTAGTGTTCATTCACTCATTCATTCCTCATTTTTTCCAAAAAGGGTATCTAAGAAAAATGCATGGATATTCCCAAACCTATCTTGAAATATATGAAAGCATATTTTAAAGTTGCTTATAAAATATTCCCTATCTTTAAATATGCAAGTCAGTCAGCAAGTATTATTAAGCCAGTAAGTATTATTTATTAAGACTGGCAGTGTGTTAGGCACTAGGAAAACACCCACGTTCTTTATTTCATAGAAGGTAGAACAGAAATAAAATGCCCTTATTATTAAAGAATTGTAACAAGAAAATTAATCAAGTTAAAAAAAATTCGCCAGTCCACACAGTGCTTTATTCACAGAGAATAGTAGGTAGTTAACAATGTGTCTACTGATCCTGATTCAGTGTGGAAATGCTAAAATTGCCAAATCAATTAAACTGAACTCACTGAAACATTCATAAAGTATAAAGTTATACAAACATATGTCTCTTTGACCTTAATAATTATTCATGGGACCATATATCAAATAAGGGTATATTATGAATTTTAGTTTACTGTTGACCTTAAACACTTAAATCAATAATCTGGCACATAATTTTTCAAACAAATATAAATATACCAGCTTTACTATTATTCAGTCCATATTTCTCCAACTGTTTATGAGGGCATGAGGGGAAGCCTTATTAAAATCAACATCTGTTGTTGCCCTTTACACATGTAATGTACATACACATGCTCCTTTCAAACCAACAGAATCTACTGATATTCTTCTGTACATTACCAATTCTCTCCACTCAAACATCATCAAATTGCCTATTTAGCCTACGTATATAATTTATTACATATCCCTACTGCTCCTCAACTGAGCCAGAAATAATTCTCTTTTTTTCAAAATACTAATCAAGGGTCATCTCCTATATGTCACATTCACTACATTCATTAACTATAGTGCTTGCACCTGGAATGAGTTAGCCAAAAACAGAAAAATGCTCACTCACCAACTGGGGTATCTGTGAATGACCAGATGAGTCATGATTGCCCTGATCTCCTCTTACTACTCCAACCAGGAGACTCCTTGACTATCATTTACAAGCTGCAAGGGGTGGGGACTGTCTACCACTGTTGCTACCACCACTACCATTGCTAGCACACCACCAAATAAAAACACCAAGATTGAAATAATCCTAGGCCTCAGTTACTGAGTCATCCCTTATTACTAGTATAGTCATTCTTTTACTGTTTTTATCTCTTTCCTTTAATTTCAATAAGAATTTTGGGTTCTTACCTCTCTGGATATTTAACAATGTGTTTACTCTAGGACCCTAAACTGCCTATCTGACTTTTGACTTGCTGCTTCTGTGGACCCTTGTATTTCATGGGTGCCCTGAATAAATGACCAAATGTGTGTAACTTATTGTCAGGCCTGGACTCTAATATCTGAAGGCCTAAGACTTCTGACTCTGCCAAATATGGAAATTTACTTTAAAATGCTTCTCTTGCTGGTAACAGAAAGGTCTAAATGTTCAGCAAAATTACTCTTAATAAAGAAACCCAAAATGCTAGAGATGGGCGTACATATACAGTAATCTCCCTTTATTTGGGATAGATGTGTTCTAAGATCCCCAGTGGATGCCTGAAACCATAGATAGTATCAAACCCTATATATATGTCTTTTCCTATACATACATTCCTATGATAAAGTTTAATTTATAAATCAGACACAACAAGAGATTAACAACAACAACAAAATAGAACAACTGTACTGTAACAACAGTTCTGTAAATATCTTTGTAAATATGGGGGTCTCTCAAAATAGCTTATTGTATGTAATATTTTCGGACTACAGTTGACCATAGGTAACTGAAATGTGAAGAGACAAAACACATGAATAAGCAGGGACTACTGTATACACATACTTATATAAATATGTACGTATCTGCGTATATTCATATATATGTATATACTTTTAAATTATGTTAACAGAATAAAGGACAAAATACATTTTCATTTCATTAGATAACAGAACAAAGTATCTGATTACATTTACCAATAATTCTTCATAGAAATTCTTAGCACAGTGGGAAAATAAGTACATTTTCTTAACCTGATAGCAGAAACCTACAGCAGACATCAGACTTATTCATGTAATGTTGATTCCTTTAAGAAAATGGAACAAGGCAAGCACAATAAGGCAAGAAAAAGAACTAAAAGTTGGAAAGAAACAAAAGTATCATTATTTGCTGTTTAAACAGTATGACTGTCTATAGATAAAACTCCTAAGAATCTACAACTTATTGATAATAATGGTTTAATGTGGTTACTGAGTATCAGATTAACATAAAAGCATCAAGCACACTTGTACAGACTACCAACAGTTTAGAAAAATGCCATTTTACAAAAGATAACACTTGTAATAGCTACAACACCACAAGATACTTAGATATATAAATAAATAAATACATCTTGTAAAAGACGCACAAAACTCTTTAAGTAGAAAAATTTTAAAATTTACACAAAAACATTAAAGAAGACTTAAACAACAGAGAAGTAAGACTTAGGAAAAGGGAGGTTAAATATTGTTTAGTTGTCATTTCTCCCCAAATAAATCTATAGATTCAATTAAGTTCTTACAGAAATCTAAACAGGCTTTTTCAGGGAACTTAACAAACTGATTCTAAAATGTTTATGAGGCCAGGCATGGTGACTGATGCCTGTAATACTAGCACTTTGGAAGACCAAGGCAGGCGGATCGCTTGAGGCCAGGAGTTTGACACCAGCCTAGGCAACACAGTGAAATCCCACCATCTCCACAAAAAGTTTTAAAATTAGTCAGATGTGGTGGTGCATGCCTATAGTCCTGGCTACTCACAGGGCTGAGACTGGAGGATCACTTGAGGAGGTCAAGGCTGCAGAGAGCTGTGATCATGCCACTGCCCTCCAGCCTGGGCAACAAAGTGAGACCCTGTCTCAAAAAAATAAAAATAAAAATAAAAAACGTATATGAAAGAGCAAAGGACCAAAAATAGCCAGGACAATTCCTGAAAAAGTCAGGCAGCAATATGATACTGGTGCAAAGAGATCAATGAAGCAGAATAGAAAACTCAGACTCCCACGTTAAAAATAACACTTAATATGTGACTAATTTTTGGATTATATATCACTAAAAAAAAAGAATAAATTAATAAGTGATGCTGAGATCATTGGTTATATACAATGATACTGGTTATATACTACCCCATGCCAAATGTAAGAACAATAATAATTGACTAAGATAGATTAAAAACTTAAATATGAATAGCAAAACTCAGAACATTCAAGAAAAAATGTATCAGAATATCTTTATTATCCTAGGAAGAGAAGCATTTCTTCAGGACATAAAAATACACAACATACAGGAAAAATAATGGTAAATTCAATTACATTAAAATGAAGAATGTCTGCTGATTAAAAGAAAAAGTTAAATGATAAGCCTCCAACTAGGTGACAACACATAAACATATAATATCAAAGAGTTAATATATAGAATTTATGAAGAATTATTGTGAATCAAGAAAAATACAAATGACTCAATGGTAAAGTAAGCAAAAAAAAGAACCATCAACTGGCATTTTATATATATAAACATGTAAGGAGCTCTTAGTCAAATAAAAAAATTCCTAGTTAAAAAATGTGAGATTCCATATAAACAAAGTTCAAAACAGCTAAAAGCAAACTTTAAATCATTTATGAGTATATACATACATGGTAAAACTATATGGGCAAGCAAAAGAATGGGTAAGACAAAATTCATGCTAGTAGTAATTCCATGAGAAATGAAGACTGCCTTTTTTTTTTTTGAGATGAAGTCTCACTCTGTCACTGAGGCTGGAGTATAGTGGCACACTGTCAGCTCACTGCAACCTCCGCCTCGCAGATTCAAGTGATTCTCCTGCCACAGCTTCCTGAGTAGCTGGGATTACAGGTTCCTGCCACCATGCCCAGCTAATTTGTGTATTTTTAACAGAGATGGGGTTTTGCTATGTTTTCCAAGCTGGTCTTGAAGTCTTGACCTCAGGTGATCCACCCGCCTCAGCCTCCCAAAGTGCTGTGATTACAGGTGTGAGCCACCACGCCCAGCCAAAGAAGGCTTCAAAGTATTGGAAATGTGCCAATTCCTAGGTTGTATTGTGGGTTGGTGAGTTCACAGTACTTATTCTTTAAAATGTGTATATGTATAATTTACATGCTTTTGTATATATGATAAATTTCATAAATGTTAAAAGCAAGGAATTTTGAGATAGAATATATTAATATAAGGGTCACAAAACCATATAGAATTAGCTGTTTTGAAGAAATAAATGACTTCTGATTTGAGCTAAATGAACCCAATGTGAAAATAAAACAAGTTATTCAGTCTATTGAAAACTTAATAGATGTAGAAATGGGTTGATTTATTCAACTTAAGTTTAAATTGGAGAAATGGCCTCCATAGTTGAATAATTTTATGGAGTTCAAAAGAGTTCACTCTGGCCATTCAAGGTACTGGGGTGGGGGATATTTTTACTTGACTAGAGAACATCATTAATGAACTTTAAATGTTATAATCAAAATTACTTATAATATCTATAAAACCAAATTTACCTTTTTATCAAAATATTACTAATTTCTCAAATCATAAATTTTAAGAGCGTGAATTCAGAATTCAATATTACCTGTCATTCCATGACTTCTCATTCTTCCCATCTTGTATTCTGCTTTCAGAGACGGTAAAAGTGCTGCTCCAATGGCAATACCATCTAACATGGCACTGAATTTAAGAACAATAGGCTTCTTTTCTAAGCCTTCTGGTAGCTGAGGAAATTCATTTGTTTCAACAGGAGTTTGATTAACGCTTGTTGGGGTTTTTTCAGAAGGTAGTGGGGTTGCAATATCTTCTTTTGCAGGCTGTGGGCTAGAAAGCAAAAAAAAAAAATTAAAAAATAAACACACAGGAGCTACCATTTTATTGCGGAAAATCATGGGATTTCTCAGTGAAAAATAGCAAATATATACTGTGAATAGATGTTTTCTTTCCAATATCAGATCATATTCAGACTTTCTAAAACAGATGTTGAACAATGATGATATGGAAAAGTAGACAAGAAGTAATAACAATGTAAAACTCTAGAATGTTATACTGCCAAGGTGATTCTTAACAGTATTGCAAAACTGGGATTTAAACTCAGATTTGTCTGATTCCAAATTCTATGACTTAACCATTACACACTACTATTGATATTATTGCCACTACTACTACTACTGTTAAGAATGACAACACGAACTCCAACAATAACAATAATAATAACAATTTGAGTGCCAGGTACTCTTCTTAGTGCACTGTGTGCTTTGTCTCATTTATCTCACTTTAAGTAGGTACCACTGTCTCCAAGTTGCAAATGAGGAAGCATAGCTAGAGTGCTGAAACTAGGATTTAAACCCAATCAGTCTGACTCCAGGGTCTGATTTTTCAACTACTATACTCTACGGATAATATATTATAATAAGGAAAAGTTTCTTGGAACATTTTAAAACTAAAATTTATACATTCTGGATTCCATATTTCTGTTCAGAGGAAAAACATTTAAATTTTTACTACTTAGCTTCAGCCGTGATTAAACATTATATCAGAATTAAAGATTTAGATAGAACAACTGGAAAAATCAGCTTTGAGACACCTTCAAAAGACACACTAATGTTTTCCCACTTTATAGGATGTGGGAAATAAAACGTAAGACAACTTTGTAACCTTTTACATGTATTTTTTTTTTTTTAAAGATGGAATTTCGCTCGTTGCCCAGGCTGGAATGCAATGGTGCAATCTTGGCTCACTGCAACCTCCGCCTCCCGGGTTCAAGCGATTATTCTGCCTCAGCCTCCCAAGTAGTTGGGATTACAGATGCCTGCCACCACATATTTTTATTAGTTACAGTTTATGGAGACCATGAATAAGGCTCAGCAGTGAAGATGCATGAACAAAGGATATAGACATAGGGAATAAAGGTTAATGCTCAAATTTACTGCCCTTTAAAATATTTATGTGGCATGGTCAGATGCTGCCTTGGGACATAAATGATCACTACTATACGTTCTTAAACCTGTGCAGTCATAAATCTCCAATGAATTCAAAGTAAACAAGGATTGATATGGTCCTGGAATTCATCAAGTTGCTTTTTATTAGTACCTCTTATAATACTCACAAATCTCTAGGATCTCTTAAGCTTTGTTTATGCAATATGGAACACTGACAATTGCAGTGATGACACTGTACTTTAATGCTATCAAATGTCATTTTCACATGATCACTATTGGCTACTCTCCTCTTGCTCCACTGTCCATGATGGTTGATACTTAGAAGTAACTCATCATCTCCCTCCAAACTTTTGTTAATGCAGCAAAGAATATCCTGAGGTAGTATATGGAATCACAGAATGTGAACAAATAAAATAACTTACGCTGTAGAAGGTTGTCTGATTAGGTCTGAGATTTGTTTAGATAGTTGGTGAGAACTTCGAACCATCATGCTATGTAAGGTGGCAGGGTGCTGAGGAATGTTGATGCTGATAGCTCCTACTTTGAACACAGCAGCATTGTTTGTCTTCAGCCCTCTCTGGGCACTGTAGAGGGCTTGGGACTTGGCAATACTACATTTCACTACAGTTCTATCAATAGAGAAAGAGGACTATTAAAATACAGCCAACAGCCAAGTAAAGAGAAATTTTGAAAAAATATTGAGAGCAAGAAAAATACCTATAAATTTGAGAGGTCTTCAAAAAGTTCATGGAAAATGTGTATTATAAAAAAACTACATGTAGATTTCAGAATCATTTTGCACCAAAATAAACTCATATTCACTTGTTAAAACATGTGAACAGGATCTTCTTTAATGTACCAAGAAGGATAACACATCAGTTTGACAGAGCCCCTATCAAAACAGTATGAATTCTGCTAAAATTGAAGCAAGAACAAGCATCAAGTTTATGGTGAAGTTTGGGTGGAATTATAGTGAAATCATTGATGCTTTACAAAAAGCCTTTGGGGATAATCTCCCAAAGCAATTAGCAGTTTACGAATGGATAACTCAAGAAGGGACAAGACAATGTTGATGAAGCCCACAGTGGCAAACCAAGTATCAATTTGCTAGGAAAAATTTTATCTTCTTTGTGCCTAATTGAAGAGGACCAACAATTAACAGCACAAACAACCGCCAACACCATAGACAACTTCAACTGATTCAGCTTACACAATTCTGACTAACAACTCAAAGTTGAGCAAACTTTGCTCCCAAATCAACTCCCAACAAAGGCAGAGCTTTCAATGGAAATTTTAAACAAGTGAGATCCAGATCCTGAAGCATTTCTTCAAAGAACTGTAATGGGAGATTAAACATGGCTTTACCAGTACAATACCAAAAATAAAGTACAATCAAAGCAATGGCTACAAAGAAGTGGAAATGGTCCAGTCAAATCAAAAGTGGACCAGTCATGGCTGGGCATGGTGGCTCACACCTGTAATCCCAACACTTTGAGAAAGTGAGGTGAGCAGATCCCTTGAGCTCAGGAGTTTGAGATCAGCCTGGGCAACATGCCAAAACCCCATCTCTAGAAAAAATACAAAAATTAGCTGGGTGTAGTTGCACGTACCTTTAGTCCCTGCTACTTGGGAGGCTGAGGTGGGAGGACTGCTTGAACCCAGGAGACCGAGATTGCAGTGAGCTGAGATTGCACCACTGCACTCCAGCGTGGGTGGCAGATAAAAGTGGACCAGTCAAAAGCAAAGGTCATGGCAACAGTTTTTTGGGATGCTCAAAGCATTTTGCTTGTTGACTTTCTGGAGGGCCAAAGAATGATAACATCTGCTTATTATAAGAGTGTTTTGAGAAAGGTAGCCATAGCTTTACTGGAAAAATGCTCGGGAAAGCTTTACCAGTCCTCCACCACAACAATGCTCTCGCTCATTCCTCTTGTCAAACAAGAGCAATTCTGTTAAGAGTTTTGATGGGAAGTCAGTAGGCATCCATTTTACATCTTAATTTGGCTCCTTCTGACTTTTTTTTGTTTCCTAATTTCAAAAAAGAAAAAAATTTAAAGGGTACCCATTTCTCTTCAGTTAACGTAAAAAAGACTGCACTGTCATGGGACCCTCTGTTCATTAGCAATGGAATAAATGGCTGGTATCATTGATTAGAAAAGTGTCTGAACTTAATGGAGCTTATGTTGGGAAATAAAGTTTATATGTTTTAATTCCATTTTCCACAGTTTGTGAAGCCCCCTCATAATTGAATGAACTAAAACGACTTAAAAATTTTCATGTATTTAAATTATACATTGAAGAAACAATGTTATCTAAAAATATTAATATATTTTATACTATTTGCACTGAATAGTGTTTAATTTCTTTAATAGGAAGAATCTATAGAAGAAAATAAGTATATGCTCACATGTAAGTAAAAACATGAACAAGATATATTACATACACAGACACACAACATTCCACTTTTTATTTTACCCCCATTCAGAACTCTTTTGTTCTCCACCTTATTTTAGAGATCTGTACAACCATTATACAGACACTGAATATGAAAAGAAAAACAATATTCACTATACTTCTTAAAATCTAATTAGGGAGTCAAAGAAATTAGAATAACAGTCATCCACTATGTTACAAGAAATTGATAGGAAGGAGGAAGTGTAACTTGTATTTTCTGCTTTTCATTTTCAATGAGTGGTAAACAAACGATAAAAGTTTGATTCATAATGAGCAAGGCTATTACTTTTCGTTAAGAATTGGTATCCTTTAATTACTAGTACAGACATAAAGCTAAGATACTATCTTTCTTGATTTCCTTTGTTCTTTCCAATGCCTAGAACAGTTCCTAGAAGATAACAGACACTTACCAAATATTTGTGAAATGAAAGAGCAGAAAGAAGTAAAGCAAAAGAATGACTTCTACCACTACAACGGTGGAATTCCACAGATAGGATATGATAGGACATTTATGTAGAAGCCATAATGAAGTCGTCTTTGACACATACACACACCCTCACATACATATTTGTTTTTTAAAGATGGGGTCTCATTGTTGCCCAGGCTGGAGTGCAGTGACACCATCATAGCTCACCACAGCCTGGACCTCTTGGGCTCGAGTGATCCTTCCGCCTCAGTCTCCCAAGTGGATGGGACTACAAGAGACGTGCCACCATGCCCGGCTAATTTGTTTTTAAATTTTTTGTAGAGACAGGGTCTCATTATGTTGCTCAGGCTGGTCTCAAACTCCTGGCCTCAAGCAATCCTCCCAGCTCGGCTCCAATAACTTCTAATATAAATGTGATCCTTCAAATGGGCAACTGATTCTTGACAATCAGTAAATTTGGCAAAATACACAAAATACATTATTTCATATTAATTACAGGCCAGTTTACATACATTAATCTCTGCTGGGCTGTAGAAAATTTGCCAATTATTTATAGTCTCAAGGATATGAAGAACCAGTTCATCACATTTAACTTTTATCAGGATAAACCTTGAAAAGCCTAACAGTAGCTTTATCAGAGGTCTTGATTATTTATAAACAGTAAAATCTAGGTATTATATAAAATTCAAAACCAATTACTAGAGAAGTATACTTTTTTCTTCCACAACACACTATTTCTTGGAGACGATCAGAGGGTGGAGGCGGTAGTTTATGAAATTGGCCTAGTCAGCATGAAGGTAGGCTCTGGAATGCTGATTACTTACTGAATTTTGAATCATTTCTAACAGTATAATAATTAAAACCATTGTTTAACACCAGTATTTCAAGTTCAGTTTCAACATAAGCCAGAACACACCCAGATGGTGCTGACATGCAAATGGCTCTCTAGATGCGAATAGCATTCATCTATTGAATGAAATTAAACACACATTTACATATAGTAAAGGCCATTAAAATCTATTAACAGAGCAGTCAACTCTCTCCATCTTAAATACAGAATTATAAGGTTGAGATGTACAGATGTTTTATTATTAGTGTTTTAATAATTATTTCTACAATTAGTGAAAACTCTTTCTTGCAAAGTGAATTTTTTAAGCTTCCATTATCATATCAAAAATTAAGTACTTTGATCATAGAAATTTTAACAGTAACATATCTGAAAAGGCACAAGCAACACACAACTACAGTGTTACAACTTGTCAACAACAGACAAGGTATGAATTACCAAAAAAGCAGCCCTTACCTGTGTTTTCTTTGATTACCAGTAAGCTTTAATCTATTATATAAAAGGGTCTATATTACAGCTACAAAACAATAACTAAATAATTCACAGCCATGAAAATAATTTAAATATTTTAAAAACTATTCAATACTACAGTAATCACAAAGCCATGAAAAAGAATAATATGACATACAGAAACTCTTGTTTGGCTGTACTTGTAGGAGATGTAGGAAAATCCTCCAGTCTACAGATGAAGAGTCAAGAGAAAGCAGGAAAACAAAAAGGAGGCAAATAAACATTCATGCACAAATTAGTTACAATATGACCAATCATCTGGAAAGCTTTTCTAATTTCCTACTCTAAAAATGTTCCATTAAAGTACCATTTGAACTATTTTTTTCTATTCCATGTCCTTTTCATTGCAACTGAAAATGAAATACCAAAGAATACACTACAAGCTTGGCAGTAACTAATAAATAACTTTTATTTTTCAAATAAAACAGTTAAGGGATCTTTACTTGGGGAAAAAAGAGCAAGAAATATCAGCAATATAATATTTTATCAAAAATCTGTTTTATAAACATTATGTTTTACAAGGTTAAAGACTATTGGAAGTCCTTCTCTTTAGAGATAATAAATAATGAAGAGAAGAGATCCAGGAGGATAGAGTAAATAAAACTCATGGGATACCTAAAGAAATTTAGTTTACTTTCTGAAGGTAACGTACCCATGGTAATTCAAATTTAGAGTAAATGAAAGAATCATGAAATCCATGGTCTATGACTTTCAGAAGAAGGATCATAAGGTGGAAAGAGTATAGATTCAGGCATCTCTTCTTACTGACTATATTAAGTATTTTAGGCACTATGTTGATCTTTCTGAACCTCAATCTATTGTTCTGTAAAGGTGGATAAAATCACCCCAGTTCCCAAAATTGCAGTGAGGATTAAATAAAATAATATAGGTGAGGCTCCTGGCCCACAGTAGGCACTTAATAATATTGTAATTAATACATAATAATAAGCCCTTCTCCTATATTGAATGAACAAAAAAAGATCTCATCTCTCACAACCACCAGAATTTCCTGCCTTTCTTGAAAAGACTTCTAAGGAAATGTGATCTGGATAGTAGGCAGCTATTATGAAATATATAGTCTTTGGTTCTACACTTACAGATCCAAACCAAACCTGAGACAGTCTCCAGGAAGTCTTGAGAATGGGCCCTGTCTGAGGTTGCTGAGTTTGGTCAAAACTCACTGGAGAAAGCTATGGCCTATAATAAACATCCATTTCAGGATATATTCCCCAAGGTAGCTAGCACATTATTCAGATTTTTTAAATATTATTAGAGCTGTAACATATCATACTTCTTAGTCAATCTAGGACTAATACTTAATTTTTAAAACGCTGAACCAAATCCTCTATTAGTCATGTTGGATATGTTACAGGATAACAGTAGCACAACATTAGCTAGCCATAATGTTAAGAAACAGCAAATTCTGAAAATCTGACCTAAATTATCAAAGCCTGTTTTATAGTTAACATGAAACTGCTCTGCTGAATGGAAGTTAGGAATGAAGGTATATACTACCAATTTTAGGAAGACAAAAAGTATTTTTCTAAAATATTTTATTTGGCGATATTCTCAATGACAGAATTCTTAGTATCTGGGAACTGAGACTGTATATACAAACCTCAAAATTCAGCATGTTTATCCAAAGAATTTCAAGTTTTGTCTAAAACTATAAGTGTAAGAAAATAAAAACTGACATACTTACTGTATATTTGGTGTAATCCCTTCAAGCAGCACAATATTAACCCCACCAATATGAGCAGTAGCACAAGTCTCAGTCATCTTTTGATGTAAAACATCTTAAATATGAGAAAAAAATATTTATTTGAATTCTAGATATAAGATACCTGAATTTCATATTAAAATTACATTTTATTCATAATATATTCAGTAGCAAAAGATAATTTTAAAGTTATGGTAAATTTGGTTCAACCATTTCAGAGCTACTTTTTAAAAAATTTCCTTAGTTTTTTATTTCTCTGCATTTAATACATACATACATATTAAATGTCAAAATTGCAATAATGCACAGTATACACTTTGATATGCTATTCCTGCATTAGTCTGACATGACATAGCCTATTGGCATTTTAAATCTCAGAAATAATACTTACTGCAGAAAAGTTGAAAAATTTTTAAAAATAGGAAAAAGAAACCACATAAACCAGCACTCTTGGTCCATATAATTCCTGTGATTTTAATGGAGGGTTTAAATATTTTAATTACTTAAAAAATGAAATCACATAAACAATTTTGCCTACTTTTTTCACTTAGCATTATTGTTCGTATTAATAAATTCTGCAGTATAATTTTATGGGTAAATTGTAAACTGGCATATGTTTGTTTATAAAAATAACCAATTCTTTAATGCCAGACACTTGGCTGCTTCTTTGTACAGATAACTTTTCACACAATTGTGATCATTTCTTCTACCTAGGTTTGCAGACCTCTAATTGCTGAGTCAAAAGATAAATTGGCTACTGATAAAAGCTATTCAATTAAACTTCAGGAAGATTAAACCTATTTATATCAATTTAAAAGTGAATAAAAATGTCCGTTTCTCTAATTCTCACCAAAAATGAGTATGGCCATTCTTAACTTTGGCTAAACAGACGAAAAAACCGACAATTTTTTTTTTTTTATCAACTTAGACATCTGAATGTTTGTGTATTGTTTATATCCTTTGTGATATTTCCAAGGAAGGCTGGTGTGTTTGTATTTCTCTCAGCAATTTGCAGTCAGTCCATCTAATTTCTGCAGAGAATTTTCTTTACAGTCAGTCCATCTAATTTTTTCAGAGAACGGTGTGTATGGTTCACCATGTCAACCCCAAGTACATAATCCTCAAATTTAAAATTAGTTTTTGAGTAAATAATAAATGTTCAAGGTACAAAACAAAACAGGTAAAAAAAGGATATGTAACAAAAAGTAGGTTCAAAGTAAGTTTTGATTCGACCTTACAAGTTTCTCAATCATAAAGTTAACAATAAAAACACATGGTGATTGATAACTTCCTTTTCTCATGTAATATAACCTGTCAGGTTATTTTCACAACCAGAAAAACCACACTGGTTTTATATAACCATTGCTGCCAAAAGAATCCCTGCAACTGTATTGCTGTATCCACCAAGTCTAAGAAACATTTGCTTTTTTATTTTAGCATCTCTGAAAGTGGGATGCAGTTTATAATCAATGGCATCTGACCATATCTGGTAATGGTATTTTCTTTGTGATACATAAAATAATAGTGCATCTTAAAACTGATGGGCTCCTGGATTTGATAAAATATCACACCTTGTGTAATCATTCTCAAGATAAATGGTATGTTTTCACTAATCTATGAAATGTTGTATCAACTAAAGGGATTTCTTTTTATAGAGGTACTTAGTATTAGATTATAAGATTTCTATGGTAGTAACAAAAGCAAATTTTTCATAAATTTCATTATTTTGGTAAAATTTTCTGCCTTTAGAGACATCTTAGTAGTTGATATTAAAAGATAAAGAATAAATGTCACTGAGTATAGGTATATTGGCTCAATATTTATGTGCTAAAATATTTAGACATCAAAGCTGCCTCAATTCACTGATACTCAATTACAACAAAGTTCTTGGTATCTCAGAATTTGGGAAGTCCAATTTTTCTGGAAAAAAAAAATTGCCAAGTAGGAATTTTGGAGACATGGCAGTGGTTTCCTTCAGAAATGTAGCACTAATTATTATGTATACATAGCACTTTATTAGAAAAATCATTCATACCTTTCATTTTTTCCTTAAGAGTAAAACTGCCATGGATCCTCTTCAGTTCTGATTCCATTGTTAGTCCACCAATATCTGCCTCTAGGTGTGTGCGGTTCACCATGCCAATCCCAAACACTATTAGAGTAACATGCTGAGGTTCAGAAGTTACCAAGCTACGTTTCCTCTGAGTCTTAGTCAAACTGCTGTTGTCTTGTTCATTCTCAAACACAACTTTACATGTTGGCTCTGTAGGGCTCCGAACTCCTTTATAAGTAAATGAAAATATACAATTTTAGATAGGAAGACTGAAAAATGGAAGAACATTCCAAACATTGTCTTTCCTTTCTTTCCTTCACACTCCCAACCAGTCCTCTTTCTCTTATTCCCCAACAAAATGATTAAAAATTTCTTCAACATTTTTCCAAGTTCCTACTGAAAGTGAATAATAGAGCCAGATATTTTAAATCAGGTCTGTCTAAATCCCTTTAAGAACATACCATGTAAGAGTTTAAAAGGATGGGAAATATGGTGGCAGGATATCTGAATTCCATTACTATTTTATTGCCTGTTGACAGACAATTTCTCTCCATTTCAATTATCCACTTACAACATTAAGAAAACATGATGAAAAGTCTTCTGCTTCTTTGGTATTATTGTTATTCTAAACAGAAATTTTTAAAACATAAAAATGTCTGTTACCTGCTGGTCCAAATGTTTCTGAAGACTTTTCCAATATTCCTGTTGGATCAGAGATAAGTGAATAGAAGTTAAGCAATTTATACATATTCTGCCAGCACTCAGCTGAAGGCTCACTTTGTTCTGAGACTGTAATTGAATCAGAGTCATCCATATGAATAGTCATGTGATCCACCACATCTTTTGAACCTTTCCTAGACACTTTTGATGTTCTTCTTTCAGATCTTCCTAATGAATTCTTGTTTCGAGATTCCTTTTTGTTATTCTCATTGTTGGTCCGTTTGTTCTTTGCATTATTTACTCTATTGCCACCATTAAGACTTCCTCTAGAACTGCGGCTAAAGTCAGACGAACGAAAGTCCCGATGTTTTCTGGTTTTGAAGGTAGGTGTTGGGGAAGCAGATCCGGCTGTGTATCTGCTAAGTTTAATATCAGTCTGTGTTGCTTTGATATCATCTATCATTGTGCTAAACTGATGAATAAGACGAACCAAAGCCATATCTACATGCTGGCTTATTGACTGACAGGAAATAGTAAAGTTGCAGTGAAAGGTGTTATAATACCGCTTGCTGAGATCATGAAAAGAAAGGGCACTGGCAGAGTTCTGAGGGGTGCACACAGACTTTTCCATTACAACAGCACTGATGCTAAAGGTTCCCAACATTAATGCCGGTTTGAACTCAAGTGGAGGAAGATTCACATGGCCTTGCCTAAAAATGTGAAATAAAAAAAGGACAAGGTGTTTCTTCCATTTTTCCAGAAACATACATCTTTATTAATTTATAAGCAAAATCATTTCCAAGGTAAAATATGAGTCTTAAATAATTTTAAGCAAGCAAACCAGTAAAATATACTTTTTCACTACGCCAGGCTTTTTATGAGTTCGAAGGTGGGCCTTAAGTCTTTCTACTACTTAATCTTACTCTAAAACTATTCTAAAACTAACAAGTCAAAATCAGTCTTCTTATGTCAAGAAATGATTTCCCTGAAGTGATAAAACAACTTTTGTTGTCATTTGATGGTACTGCCATAGAGTATTGGAATTTAGAATTAATTATAGATCAATTAGGATACCTCACTTAACCATCCCCTCACCTTCTATAATCATGTATCTAATTTATTCATATGTAACATAATTTTATTTGATATTAGATAGGAAACCCTCATGCTAAGTTGAAAGCAGAGAGGAAAAGCAATTGAAACAAAAATTAGAAATACACGCACACACAAAACCTTAAAATCTGATATAAAAATTATATTGGCAAATCCTCCTGCTCATCTAAAGATTTTCATGTAAGACTATTATAGTAAATTTTAATATGGAAAGTCAAAAATGTCTGAAATTTCTATAAACTAACTACCAATAATAACAATAAATCCGGAAACAAAACTGTAAAAAGGTATTTTTTCCCTCTTCTTCCATGCACACTATGAATGTGCAGACATGGGAGTTTTTCTGTAACAAAAAGAAAAAAATCAGATGCTGCTTTGATATTCTGCATTTAACTTAAAGAATTTATAACTACAGAGCGGTAATTCCTTAATGAATACTAGTATTAATTAGTAAGAAAAATGCCTCATTGTAGTGTAATTCATATAAATGCACAAACTTACAGGAAGTGTACAATCAATGCCAACTAAGCATATGGTCAGAGAAGGAAAAACCTGATTTTGAGAATTAGAAGAGAGAAGACTAAAAAGAGATGAAAATAATCCACAATTGCAAAAACAAGAATCTAAAACATTTAAGAGTAGTAAGAAAATCTTAAAGAGGGGAGATTCAAATAAAAGAGAAGAAGAAAATGGCTATACCATAATAATAATTTGCCTGACAAGTAAAAGCCTGATATGGGCACTGCAGAGCCAAAGTTACAATTAAAATTGTAAAACATAAGTCCCCGATACGTGCAGCTACTTTTACTAGAGACAGCAAAGAGACAAAGAAACTACTCTTAATGAGGACTTACTATATGCCAGTTTCTATGCTAAATATTTAATAACTACCCTGGCTTTACAAAGTAGTAGAAGAGTTATACATATTCATACAAGAAACTGTAACCCCAAACTAATATGCAACAGTTAGCAGAATGAACAATCTGCTACGAAAACAAACAAAAAACCCAGACAATACTGAAATTAATGGCTGGGAAAAGTATATTGTGGTGAAGGTCTCCAAATAAATAAGAGCTTAAGATGGAATTACAGGAGATCTGAGAAATAAAAATTAATCATAAGTTAATTGTAAGAATGTAGAGCATTTGGAGCTGGCATGGTAGCAGAAAAATTAAAAGGAATGTCAAGTTCAGCTAGACCAAAGGCAATGAAGTTCACAGAATCACTCAAAGAAGCTCTCACTCAAAAGACTTGTGTGCTCAAATGAAGATCTAGTCTGTGGCAGTATTATATGGGATTTACTAGGCCAATACATAAGCTATAGCTATAATTTTATTTATATAATCTATATCTCTATATACAACCTATTACATATAAACTATATATAATTGAATTATATATAACCTAGTTATATATATGAAACCTATATACTGTATGTATATATATATAAACATATTTATATATAAATGGACAGATTTGTATGAAAGCTGGCTCTTGCAAATAGAAATACAAGTTTAGCTCAGATATTTTAACCCTAAATAGATAGTATGTGTAGGTATTAATGTTTGGGGTCTGGATTTGATGGTTCCAATATTTTAAAATTTTAGTTACTGTGCTTTACTTAAATAACAAGTCTCCCAATAATGTGATACAAATTTGTAACTAACACTTACTGTGAAAACTGCATAAAGTACAAACTTATGGCTAGCTCTTCAGCCCACAAGTCAGTACAAAACAACAGATGTGCATTGTGATCACTGACTAATCACATCACTTCAAAATGTGTCAGTGATAGTGATTAGTTGAAGCATACCTGTTGTTCAGTTCATGCACACAAAGCATAGCATGTAGTTACTTGTGTTGCCTCCTTGTGTCTCTCTCTGTAATAAATCCCCATAACATTTTACAAAAATGAATAATCAAATGAGGGAACTGGACAACAAAAATGAAGATGCAGCAAAGAAACTAAAAATGAAGATACTGGTAGGGAAAATCAATTGAATGGTGTTATGGAAGAAACAGCTGACCATGGAAGTCAGTGGAGGCAAAATTATTGACATAAAGAGGAAAGTGGCCATGACAGAAAGGATGAAGATATCCCAGAGGAAGTGATGCTGACAAAAAACTTCATAGTAAAGAGAATCAAAGATTATTTCATGACATTGAAAGTGTAAAGCATAAAATGTTGAAAACTGATCCATACATACAAAGGAGTTCGACATTTTGCCAAGGCACACAAAAGCTGCTTGTTCTGTATTATATGTTATATCATAAGGACAGGACCATTCAAACTACCCTTTGATAAGTTTTTACAAATAAATAAAATAGTTTAATTGTCAGTGTTTCTAACATTTTAAATTCCAATGTACTAAATATTAGTTTTACTTTTATTTTTCATTTTCCTATACATTTATAATAAACAGTAAGAACATTTTTAATGTTCTGACAAATACTGTCAAGGTCACAAAAGTAATTTTTTCCACTGATTATTAAAATTGCTTTGCAGTTTCAGCTTGTACAGTCATTGTTATGGTACAAGACTATTGTGAAAAGCAAGAACTTTTGTTAAATTATTTAAAATTTAAATAGAAATATTTCAAATGAAAAATATATTTTACTTAGCTATATGTCAGACATAAATACTTTAATTTACCACCTTGCAAAAACACAAAAAGGATGAAAGAAACAATACTACAGAAACCTCTTGTCATGAATGCCATTTATCTCCATATTCTACTATTTCTATTCGTTTTAAGGCCCACCTCAAAGTAAAATTCCAAGTACCCAAAATATTACTCAAATCCTGTGAGTGGTATATTATTTCCTATGTAAACACTAAAGAAACTGAAGAACCATCCATGATAATATAAAATAACAGCAAAAGACAGTTCTTAACTTTCACTATGCTACATTTCTATTTGTTTCTGATGACTAGACTCTCAATGTGACTTCCGCCCTGTTTCTAATACAAAAATACTACCTGACATGAGTCAACTCAGAACCCTCAAGATCATAAAAATTCCACTATTACAAGAGCCAAGTAAATAAAGGGTAAGTGCATATATCAATATATATAACCCTCATCTATGTGCTAACATGGTTCAAAAATATGCCTAAAAATAGGCCTCATAATCTGTTGATAAATACAACTAGTAATTAATAAGAAAATGTGGCCACTACTTTTACTAAAAGGTAATTATCTTCTCATAAACATATTAAAATTACTTTCTCATTTGGATTACAAGAAAGTAATGTTAAAAAACAAACATATTATAATTCTTGCACAAAATTATACACAAAAATGCAAAAGACACCTTCTTGCTCTTTTGCCTTTTCTCTCTTTGGCTGTGTCAGAATCCACAATATCTGCTCTGAGGCAATCCAAAGTCCCTGAAAATGAAAGGTGTTCTCCAAAGTACATTCGGTAGCAGAGTGGCATTGTATCCTGTGACTGGATCCCTGTATGACTCAGAAGAGGCTTGAAAACAACCTAAAAGACATTAACATTCATATTAGCTCAAATTATAGCTTATCATTTACTATAGAAATTACATATAGAAAAATGCAGCTTTTTTTCTTACCCTGCCTCAGTACATATTAGTATCATAGTGTGAAGCAAAAAATGGTCTCATATAATTAACTCTAACTTTACTTAAAATTTAGTATTTTTAGTACCTATTATAGGCCACTCATCTTCAAATTAATAATAAATAAGGACACAGATTCCTTGATCCTACCTGAGTGTCTGAAAGTACAAGGAAAATAAAATTATGAATTAGGTAAATCATTCTACCTCTTGCTTTTAAAACAGGTATGAATTTCTATTGTGTTTCCATTTACAAAAAAAAAAAAAAAACATAAGGTTCACAAAGTTTTCAACTTCCTGTGTTAATATAAAAACATTATAAATGTTATGAATATCTGACCTATTTTTAAATGGAAGCACCTGGTTGTAATAGTCATTTAACATTTATCTTCAGAGAACTTCCTTTACATTTTAAGTATCACATATGCTTATGGAAATACATTATTCTGGTTAAATCTCTAGTTAACTGGATTTCAGACACTAAGCACTAACCTGAACGGAAAGAACTACATGTGTTCAATGCTACAGCACTAAAATCACTCTGACTACTCATCCTCTGCCACATGGTTCCTTTTCCCCCTCCTACATCCTAAAATATAGGTGCTATCCAGTGCTTTTCTCAGCCTCCTCTTTCACTACACATTCTACCTTAGTGATCTTTTCCTGAAGCTTAAAAAAAACTCTATCTAAATGGACAAGTGCCATTTACACAATGAGAGCCAAGCCTATATTTCCGATTGTCCTAGGTCACCTCATTTTGTTGTGTGTGCTTGGGAAGATAGCTCTCTCTTTAACTGACTCTAAATTCCAATACTTCTCATTTTTCTACTAATTTTGCTCCATCTGCTAACCCTTCTTTCCTTTGTTTTTTATCATGAGCTTCCTAATTTCTCAAGTACAGTTGGCCCTCCATATCCAAGGGTTCTCCATCCAAGAATTCAACCAACCACAGATTGAAAATATTAGGAAGTAAAAACCAATAAAATATAACAATGAAACAATTAAAAAATACAAATAAAAACCCAATACAGTATAACAATTATTGACATAGTATTTACATTGCATTCGGTATTATAAGTAATCTAGAGAAGATTTAAAGTATATGGAAGGATGTATGTATGTTGTATGCAAATATCTGCCATTCTGTATAAGGGACTTGGCCATACCACAGATTTTGGTATCCTGGGTGGTGGATCAGAGGGTGGGTAGGGGGTTGGTCTAGAAACCAATCCCTTGGATACTGAGGGACAGCTATATGTAAATATGCTCAAGACACCTTTATCCTGAAAAAATGATGCCTCCTCTGACGCACGTCCCACTCTCACACTTGCCTGCTGGCCGCTCAAACCAAAGAGTATGTTTTAAAGGATTTCACTCTTTATTCTCCATATTTAATCAGTTAAATAAGACCTTCACCATATCCTCATTTACCTTTTCAAAGCCATAAACATCTAAGCCTAGAGTCTCATTACCACTGGGTGAACTATTTCAATAATTCATCTTTTCAACACTAGTTTCTCTATTTCAATCAATTTAATACATTTGCTACTCACATAATATTTCTATATCTATAGTTTTAGTTACTTTATTCCTCTGCTCTAAAATCATCAATGCTTCCCCACTGCTCGCTCAATAAGTCTTAAGATAGCACTAAAAACCAAAGGGTATGATTATCTATTCATGTTGCTTAGTCAATTTGTTACAAATAACAAAAAGGTTACTATATGAGACTCTTCTATTTAATGATTACATATAGATACTTAATTTGCATTTATAATTAAGCCATGTACTTTTTAAAGGCTCCTCCCATTTTGCATGAAGGCTGTAGGAAGATAGGTACAGAATATTCTCACTAGAATTCCAAGGTGCATACTACTGGATGGTTCCAGTTGCTAAGTAATGCCTAAGGAGGTTTTATTATAATTAGGAAAAAACAGGCTGGCTCACCTGTGCATCAGCAAGCTGAACAGCAGGAAACCCTTGGTTTGCTTCTTCTACACCTGCCACATCATCCTGACTGGTGCTATGCTGAGAATGTGTCCCATCCAAAGTATTTTGGTCACTAGACAAGACAGTGTTGAAATCTGAGGCCGAGGGTATTGTAGGAAGATTGGGTGCTACACCTAATGGAATAAATTTTTAAGAATAAAATGTAAATTATTGGAAAATAGAAACACATAAAAAGTATACAGCAGAGTAAACTTTTGAAGCCTGTAGAGCAGTACCATTTCAAGACTGTTTAAATTGAAAAGAAAAAAAAAAATGCATACCTTTAGGTTATTTTACAGACATGATTTATTAGTGAAAAATGAAATTAACTCTTCAGAACACATCATCCCTATCTATCCTTACATATACATACTCTTTTAGATTTAATTAAATATTTGTTAAGTAACTAAAAGTTTAGAATGATAGTCATAATGTCTCAAAGGGATCTAGATAAACTAAAGCTATCTTCCGTAATGTCAAGTATGTAATGTTGCAATTACACTTTGCATTTTCTCATTTACCACTTAAACTAGTCACATTAAAAGGAAGCTTTAAACTCTTTATATACAATCTCATATTTGACATATTTGCCTTTCAACAAGAACACTGAGTGACTGCTTACTACTCTCTCAATTACAATGTTATCAAAGATATTTATAAATATAAATGGACCAATTTCAACCAAACAGTACTTGTTTGAGATTTTTAACCCATCTTCTGAAAAATAAGATTTTGGTATACATTCCCCTTAGACAGTTAAGCAAAATAATGTGATAACACAATACCTGTGGGAAGACTATTGTGTCCTGATTTTGTAACGGGAGATTCTTGTACCACACTTCCTCGATTACCCACAGCATTTGACATCCAATTATAGAAACTCACAGATGATGGCTCAGATAGCAAGGGATGTTCAGATAACATATCAGTGGCCACTGTATTTCCTGAAAAAAAAATTGTAATTTATGTAACTATGTTTGAAGAACCAAGTTAAAATGTATGTTTGCAGATGGTTTTAAATTCTCACTGCATAATGTTGGTATTTGGATATTAATGTATTAATAAATAGCTTATTTTTATCATAATGGGGGAAATTCTGTGTTGCTGGTCGAGACAGCACCCCACACCAAACGCCTACATTGACATTAGTCAGTGCTGCAATTTAAAAATGCAAACTAAGGGCATGAAGACTCCGAAAAGTTACAGAACAATGGATTCCTAAAATTTTTTCTCAAAGATATGAGAGATTAGTTGTACTACCAAAGTATATATCTAACTAAAGTCCTGTTTCATTTCAATTCCCCCATAAATATAAAAATGTAATTATCAAATCTAGAGCATGTACCTGTTCTTGTTAGGGAGCTGCTTTTCACAGCAGCACTGCTTCTCTGAGGAGTCCCTTCCAGGAGGTTGTGCAGGCTTGGGAAGCTTCCAGTCAGGTAGCTGAGTAGGCTCTCCTTCCTTGGACTCTCCTTTACTGGCATCCCAGCACGTCCAACATGCACTGGAGAATCAGTGGCAGTGTCTCCACTGGTATAGCTCAGAGAATGATATGGGTGAATGCCCTACAGAAAGTGTAACAGAGTTATTTCTTACGTATATAAAAATGACTGCTGATAACTACAACCACTATTACTATTACTGTTGCTATCACTGCTAGCTATTTTGCACATTAATACCAAAACTGGTCATGTCTACTAGGATTGTGGTGAATGCTTTTTACATATGTCCTTAAATGTAGGTAAAAATGTTCTGTAACTATATAGTACAAGACAAAAGGCTACTTTTATTATCAATATTATAACGAAGCACGTGCACTTATTTTAACCATGGATCATTAATTCCCTTCTTAATCTGATGAGGGAGTCTGGTGACAAGACATAAAACCACATAGCACAGTATATCAAACAGATGGTGGAAATGAAACACTATTCATACCTAAGGAGCAGGAAACAGTGTATTGAAACTTCAGAAAGTTATACATAGGGTGTTTGTGGAAGTGCCAAGGAACATTCACATGGGTAGCAAAGAAAAACAGTAGCCTGAAATATTTATATCACTGCTTATTTACTGAACCAGCAAACTGATACCTAGACACAATATCCCTTACACAAAATATTCCCTAGAAAAACCTACTACACACACACATACATACACACACACACACACACAAAGGATCTGTAACAGGATCTTTATGTGACTGATACCATCAAAAGTAAAGTCTAGGTACTCAAAGAAACTAAAGACAGAAAAGTTGTCTACCTTCAGCAACCTTCCCTGCAGTTTTTTTTTTTTTTTTTTTTTGAGACGGAGTCTCGCTCTGTCGCCTGGGCTGGAGTGCAGTGGCCGGATCTCAGCTCACTGCAAGCTCCGCCTCCCAGGTTTACGCCATTCTCCTGCCTCAGCCTCCCAAGTAGCTGGGACTACAGGCGCCCGCCACCTCGCCCGGCTAGTTTTTTTTGTATTTTTTTTAGTAGAGACAGCGTTTCACCGTGTTAGCCAGGATGGTCTTCATCTCCTGACTTCGTGATCCGCCCGTCTCGGCCTCCCAAAGTGCTGGGATTACAGGCTTGAGCCACCGCGCCTGGCGCCCTGCAGTTTTTTACAGGAGTCAGGATAGACATCTACCTGGAAGGAAACTAGAGGCTTTTTGCTAACAGCAAGAAATGTTGACGCAATGGACACCAGTGCTGTGAAGCCCTTAAAAGTCTTAACCTCCTCTGGAAAGCAGAAAAGTTTATTCCCTTTTCTGTGCCTTCCCAGTCATCCTCACTTAGATGAGGAAAGGTGGAGAAAGGGTGTTGACACAGGAAATAAAAGAACACTTAAAACATATGAAACACTTGATAAGCATGTTTCATGTATTATCTTATTTAATCCTTAAGTTCTCTAAGGTAAGATATTATTTCTGTCCTAAAGGATGAAGAAAAGTCACTTACATACTTACTAAGGAAAAAGCCAGATTTTTAACCCATCTACCTAACTTCTACCTTCAAATTCTTAACACTAAATTATCCTTCCAAGTACTCTAATAATCAATGCTTGTTAAGATTTAATTCTCTGGAGAGCTCTAAATGCCAAAAAGACTTTCCACAATTAATGAAAAAAAATAAAAATTACGGAATTTTTCAATTTCTATCTTCTGTCACATCTATGATTAGAATGGCAGATCAATTTAAAATACAGTACAACAAAAGACTACAAAGGCAAAAAGATCTTGAAAAGCAAAGATCTGAAACTAAGCATTTGGAATTTCACATTTTTAGAGGACTTTAATAATCCATAGCAAAAGAATGTTCAAAAAAATTCTGAAAATGAACACCTTTAACAGGAAAACACCGAAATATGATTCAGGAAAAAAGCTAAGACAGATTAAAGTGTCCATCAGGGAAAAAAGCTAAGACAGATTAAAGTGTCCCAAGCTTCTAACTATACTGTGGAAACAATAAGCTCAATAGTTAAGTCTTCTTTTTAAAGTATATCAAACTATCATTGAATGTTTTAACCAAAAGAGCCATACTTACACAGAATAAAAACTTTGAAAGCCCAAGAGACTATTCAATACAAATTAAGTCCTGTGTTCCAGTATACTGGATCCCTTTCCCAGAGGCTCTCTTGTTTCTTATCTATCTTTACATAAATCATTTAGGCCTCTATAAGTACGTACATATTTATCCTTTTTTAAACACACAAATAGATATCATCCTATACTTTATCAGTGTACTTCGGTGATCATTCCATATCCACTTACAGATATACTTCATCTAAAAGATTTCCTAGTATGCATCTATATCATTGTACACTAGTTTATTAGTCCTCTAATGATTAGTAATTTGTGTTGTTTCCACGATTTTCCTTTTATTAATAGTGCTGCAAAGAATGTTCTCAGACTCATCATGTCTTTGAGCATCTATGACTTTCTCTAGAATGAATTCCTAAATATGGAACTACTAGATAAAAGAGCATCACCTTCAAAATTTTGACACATATTGCCACATTGTTATTCAAAGAGGTTGCACCAATTTGACTCCCATCAATGCCATATTAGAGTATCTGTTTTCTCACATCTTCATCAACAATGTACACTATTCAAAAGTTTTAGTCTTTCAATCTAGTGAGAATGGAAATCTCATTTTAATTTACATTTCTTTAATTATAAGAAAACATTTTTGTACGTGTGTATGTATTTTTCTGTGAACAACCTGTTTATATCATTTAACCATTTTTTCTATTTGGTATTGGCTTTTTTCTTAGTGATAAGAATGAGATCTTTATATTTTAGAAAATTAGCCTTTTGTCATGTGTTTTACTGTTCTGTTTACAATACAGTCATGTGCCACATAATTACAGTTAAGTGAACTATAGGCAATGTATACAACAGTGAACCCATAAGATTATATTATATTTTCACTGTATCTTTTCTATGTTGAAATAAACAAACACCATTGTATTACAATTGCCCACTGGCTTCAGGATAGTAATATGCTGTACAGGTTTGTAGCCTAGGAGCAAAGGCTATCCCATATAGTCTAGGTGTGTAGTAGGCTGTACCATCATCTAGGTTTGTATAAGTATAGACTATGATATTTGCACAACGACAAATTGCCTAATGACCCATTTCTCAGAATGCATCCCTGTCATTAAGTGATACATGACAGTATATTACTTTTTTCTCTGTAGAAATTTTTATTTAATATTGTCAAAATTATCATTTTTATGGATTCTGGGCATCAATGTGAGTCTATACACAGACTTTCAAAGAAAGTTAAAAAAAAATTTTTTTTTTTGAGATGGAGTCTCGTTCTGTTGTCCAGGCTGGAGTACACTGGCAGGATGTGCGCTCACTGCAACCTCCGACTCCTGGGTTAAAGCAATTCTCTGCCTCAGCCTCCCAAGTAGATGGGATTACAGGTGCCTGCCACCACACCCGGCTAATTTTTGTATTTTTAGTAGAAATGGGGTTTCACCATCTTGGCCAGACTGGTCTTGATCTCCTGACCTTGTGATCCACCCGCCTTGGCCCCCCAAAGTGCTAGAATTACAAGCGTGAACCACCGCACGTGGCCAGAAAGTTAAAATTTTAACTTTTTCAGTGCTCACAACAGTGAACTAGCAAAAAAATAAAGAACCATCAACAACAAATAACTAGCAAAAAATAAAGAACCACTAACAACAAATAATTTATTACGGGTCAGATATTGCTCTAGGCATTTTTCATGAATTAACTCAGTTATTTCTCAGAACAACCCTCTTCAGAAGGTTACTATTATAATCTCCATCTTACACCAAGGAAACTGCAATACAGTTAAAACATACAGTTAAAACCCGTTCAGTCACAGAGCAACTAAGTGGCAGGGGCAGGTTTCAAACCAAGGCAGTCTGGCTTCCAAGGTGGTACTGCAACCACTTTGCTATATATGTCTCTTATCAAGCATCCATTAAATGTTCATAAAACCAAAAAAAAAAAATCATAAAATAGTCTAACCCAAATCACCTACTGATCACACACTGCCGAAAAGGCTTCTCATTAAAACAGGTAATTATAAGATTATCAACATTTTCTATTTGGGATTTTATTGAATACAGTATTCAATAAACTGAAGACAGCTCTAAGGCTTGGTAGTTATAGTGATCCTTAATCAACAGCAGTTACTGATGATATAATTTTCAAAGAAATATTTAAACTGAAATAACAAATCAAGTTAATTTCAACACAAAAATGCTATCTGAATGTTAGGTTGGACACCTAACATTTAAATTTGAGATAAAATTTTAGGTTTTCTCTGTAAGTCTAAATAACTCTAACCAAAAAGAGCAATAATATACCTTTATTTTTAATGCAGAGTCACTATGGGTATGAGTTTTAGAAAGTTTCCTCATTATCTCAGCTCCAGTTACGGGTCCGGAGCTACCAGGTGGAGGTCGGTTAGCTGTTCCTTCTAATAGCATTGTGTGTTCACTGACTGTGGCTGAAACAGTTCAAAAGAATAAGTGAGCAATAGATTATCACACATTTTCTTGAAACATCAGCCCCAATATTTCTAGTTACATAATGACACTCAACTTTCATATTCCTTGACAACTATTTATTTTCTCCCCTACCCCAATCCTCTCACTCAGTTTCAAGAAAGGAACAAATGGCTTTCATTCAGACTTTCACATATTCCATGCAAACGATACTCAGACCAAAAGCCAATTCAACTAAGCTCAAGAAAGCACAGACTGCTCATAGATTAAAAGAGGGATTTGCAGATAATTGGAAGGGATATTCAGTGTACTGGTTTTCAAACTTTTGTGTAGATTTGAAATTTTTTTAAATAAGTAATAAACAAAATCTACCCTATTCCTCATAACTCATTTATTTGTTAAATATCAAGTTATTTTTAAAACTAAGCTTGGTAAAGTTTTATATATCAATGTTCTAAAATCTCTAATTTTAAGACTACTCTTTCAATATTTTTTCCAAAACATCACAACATGCATTTCCACTAAATATGATAGGTCATGATAATAAAAATTAACCTTTCACAAAGCATTAAGGTATGCAAGTACATTTCATAAATGCATATCCACTATTGTTCTGACACAGCCATTTTGTTGACAAAATTGTAGGTTGAGTGCAGGCCCCCAAGGTTACATAAATTCAGGATCAAGCAGGCATCAGGTAAAAAGACAAAGGCCCCTTTAAAATACTGTGGCATAGGGAAGATGATAGACAAATACAAATTTTAAATAGAGGTTTATGTGTTTCATTCAAAACGTTCTACTTACATTAAGATATCTTTGTCCTGGATAGATCAGGAGAAGTCTACTGTATTTCACAAAACTGAGCTTATAAAATCAGGTCAGTATGAAATTTCCTAATCATTATCACGTATTTGGCTAATAAAAATCATACTTGTATACCTAAGCCACGACCATTTTCCAATTTGGGACATGAATTATTAAAATTATCACAAGTACCATGTTAACAAGTATGTAATATCTAAAATTGCTTATATTAGTAATTTATTAATAACTGTGAGGAAAAACAAAGAGTCTTGATATTTTTAAAGAGGTATATTAACTTATTAATAAAAGATGCATAATATCTAAGCAAAAAACATACAGCAATTGTGTTGAGTAAGAAAACACCCTAATTGTGAAGTGTAAGAAAGTACTCAATAGAGGCTTACAAAACTACCTGCATCAAACTCAAATTCTGCTCCATCAGCACTGGTATCACTTTGAAGACCACCCCCATTGTCCAATCCAAGTCCATCTTCATGTTCATGGTCCATAGCTACTTGAGGTTTCAGAGGCTGAGCTGGTCTATGTAAGCTAACTCCTTTAAAGGCTGGTGTCACCACAATAAACTTCATCCACTGCCTTGCCAGTGCAACTAAACCTTTCTTCAAAGTTACCAAAGCAGGAAGTCCATCACTCTGTAACAATAATGATGTGGTTAGAAGTAATCTAATGTAATAATATCAGTTACCATTTAAGTGTTCTGCATGTATTTATTCAAATATCATAATCCCCATTTACAGATAAAGAAACTAAAACTTAGATGTTAAGTAATTTGTTCAAAGTTACCCAAGAGAGTCAGGATTTCAATTATATGTAGACTACAGAATCTAATCTCTAGACACAACATTTCATCTTTGTGTCATAAAACAACACAACAGCACAGGTCAATATGATACTAGATGCGGGATACAAAATTGGAATTTTCTTCAAGAAGCATTCAATCTACTTTACTTATTTTGCCCAAGTGAAGAATCAAAATGTACTTTGAGCTACCTGGAACATTCAGTAAGCAAAGAGGAAGTAAAATTATTTCCTTCAAAGATTAGGTAACTACCATTGTTTTAACATTTAAAAAAATAAATTACTGTAACTTATGTAGTATGCTAGACATAGATGAATTTGTAACTGCCTTGAAAGTTAACTGTATCATCAGTAATAATTATATACTTTAAAATACATTTTATTCCACATGGTGATGATTATAAGAAAGAAACTTTTGGCTCTTTTCCTGTTACCTTAGTCTAATTACCTTGCCTTAGCCTAAAGAGAAAAATACCTAACTCTTCTTCATCCTGCTTCCTACCATTCCTCATTTTAGGAGAAATGGTTAATTTGATTGAAGAGCACCATTTACTAGAGGGCAGGAATCACCCCGCTTACTTTCTGAGGAATACCAAGTCCACTAGCCTGTCCTTTCATTCCTAGCCTCACATGAGGGCCATGTTGTGCCTCTTCCTCTTACATGGAAAACACATCTGGCAGAGCATCCATCCATGGGAAACGCCTGCCCTGTTTAAGCTTCTCTACCTATAACTACACAGGCAAGTTAGGCTTACACTGTAGATTTCCCAGTCTTCAATTCACAGGAAGGGAGTAAAAAGCACTACACCAGCCTTAGGTCTAAGTGTCTTTTTCAAATCCAACACTTACTAGAGATTCTTGACTTGTCTGATGAATGGCTTGACTGGCCATTAATAATACTGATACATTGGTCCCTAATTTGACTAAAGATTCTTGTGTGTCTCCTATTAGCCAGCAGCTTGAAGAAGAGAAGAGAGATCCTAGAAGTTGTAAAACTCTAATCATCATGTGTTATCTGCTTTTCTAAAGGCAGAGATGGATTGTATTTATTTTGTGCAATTATATATTCTCCCCTCAATCATCAATTAGTCCCTGTTTCATCAAACTGTATGTGAAATTTGGCTCTGGTGATTATTCTCTTGCTTAAAAACTCTTTATACCTTTAGCTTCCAAGACATCAATCTTTCCTGGTTCTCCTACCTCTTTCTTTCCCTTCCCATCACTCCATGTATCCCTATCCAACGACCTACACCCCCTTTAATTTTGGCATTCTTCAGGATTCCATCCTTGAGCAGTTTCTTATTCAACATAGCATTCCTGGAAATCTCATCCATGTCTACAGCTTCTACTAACACCTTTATGCTAGCAACTCCCAAATCATGAATCTGAGCACACTCTTTGTCTATAAACCCGTATTTCTTTTTTTTTTCTTTTTTTTTGAGACAGAGTTTTGCTCTTGTTGCTCACGCTGGAGTGAAAAGGAGTGATCTTGGTTCGCTGCAGCCTCTGCCTACCAGGTTCAACCAGTTCTCCTGCCTCAGTCTCCCGAGTAGCTGGGATTACTGGTGCCAGCCACCACACCCAGCTGATTTTTTGTATTTTTAGTAGAGACAGAGTTTTGCCATGTTGGCCAGCTCGATCGCGAACTCTTGGTCTCAGATGATGCACCTGCCTCAGCCTCCCAAAGTGCTGGGATTATAGGTGTGAGCCACCGTGCCTAGCCAATAGACCTGTATTTCTAACCATTCTCACATGCATCTCAAACCCTGTGTATCAGTGGTCCACTAACACAATAGAGAATTCCTTAAAACTAATGTAGTTTCAGTAACTTACCATTGTAGCATCATCAATGACGGAGTAATTTGCCTGGTGCAGGTAGTGGTGTAGTATATTACATAGTAAACATGAAGGATTTTCTTGGAGAAAGCGAGCAACTTTCGTAAGTCTGTTGTATTTACTTCTTAGGGGAAAATGTACACTTTTATTCTAAAATCAAGAAAAAACAATAGATTTAGAGTGATAGGTATGAAAGAGCCTACAAATAAAAGATATTCAGTAATTAAGAACTTGTAAGGCTGATATTTTCCAACAATGATTAACAATAAGGGGTCATTTTCAATACTAAAGTTTGTATAATACCTTATTTAAAGACATACCTCTAATGCTTCTGTCATTATGCATCCCATAACAGCACAAATTCTCAAGGTTCCCTCAGTTTCCAATTTGTTTAAGGATGACTTGAGTTGGTCAATGGGAACAAGCCATGCACCAACAGCTGGCGTTGCAGTGCTTAAAAGGTTCAGCTGCCTTTTAACATAAATAAAAAATTATAAAAACAAGTGTCAAAATATGTATTTCAAACAATCCCCTATACCTACTATACTTAGTGGTTGTTTTACTCAGGCAAAATTACTTTATTTTCTTTTTGAGCACTGATAAATTATGAAAGCAAAACTAAGAAACGTAAAAAAGTTGGACAATAGAAAAGAAAGAAAAAAAAAGCCTGTCAGAGATAAAAAGAGTAAACAAAAGTCTAAGGGAGAGGAACATATAAAAATAAAACTAAAGTACTATGAAAGAAATTGGGTCAAACAAGGTGAGACTAATGTCTACAAAACATATGAAGTAAGAATGATAAAAAAGTTGCAACCTTAATACTATATATACCAGAAAAGTAATTTTAAAAAATATGAAACAGAATTGTGTACTATTTAAAATAAAGAAACATCAAGGGATAATACTATATTTTAAAAACTCTTTACCTAGAAAATGCATGTGTGTGAGATCTCACATTGGTGGGAGCTGCAAAACTAAACCAAATTTCTTTAATGGTCAACTTCATGCTACATGAATCTGGAGGAGGAGGCATCAGAGGTAGATCTTTTTTCAAATCATCAGATTCGACTCCTTCATCCTATATAAAACAGAATGCAAAAAACTTATTAACATACAGCCCTTAAAACCACTAACACACAGGCTAATGTTTTCAGTGCAGAACCTTTTCATCAAATCAAGTCTGGGAAAGTCTTTACTTCTCCTTTACGTTTGAAGGATATTTTTGCCAGATATACTATCCTTTGAAAAGTGTTTTTCCTTCAGCACTTAAATATGTCTTGCGACTCTCTCCTGACCTGTAAAGATTCCACTGAAAAATCTGCTTCCAGTTATATCAGAGCTCCATCGTTATTTGTTTCTTTTCTCTTGCTGCTTTTAGGATCCTTTCTTTATGCTTGACCTTTGGGAGTTTAATGATTAAATATCCTGAGGTAGTCTTAATTGGTTTAAATCTGCTTGGTATTCTCTACCTTCTTGTACTTGAATATTGATATCTTTCTCAAGGTTTGGGAAGTTCTCTGTTGTTATCCCTTTAAATAAACTTTCTACATCTCTTTCTCTACCTTCTCTTTAAGGCCAGTAACTCTTAGATTTGCCCTTTTGAGGCTATTTTCTATATCTTGTAGGCATGCTTTGTTCCTTTTCATTCCTTTTTCTTTTGTCTCCTCTGTGTGTTCTCAAACAGTCTGTCTTCAAGCTCATTAATTCTTTCTTCTGCTTGAACAATTTTGCTAGTAAGAGACTCTGATGCATTCTTCACTATGTCACTTGGATTTTTCAGCTCCAGAATTTCTGCTGGATTATTTTTAATTATTTGTCAAATTTATCTAATAGGATTCTGAATCCCTTCTCTGTGTTACCTTGAATTTCTCTGAGTTTCCTCAATACAGTTATTTTGAATTCTCTGTCTTGAAAGTTCTCCGGGATTAGTCCCTGGTGCCTTATTTAATTCATTTGGTGAGGTCGTAGTTTGCTGGCTGTTTTTGATGCTTGTGGATATTCATCAATGTCTGGGCATTGAAGAGTTAGGTGTTTATTGTAGTCTTCACAGTGTGGGCTTGTTTGTACCCATCCTTCCTTCTTGGGAAGGCTTTTCAGGTATTCAAAGGGACTTGGGTGTTATAAGTTTTTGGCCAGCACAATCATATCTGCATTAGGGGGTACCCCAAGCCCTGTATCACTGTTCTTGCAACTTATAGAGATACCACCTTGGTGGTGTTGGATAAGATCCAGAAGATTCTCTGGATTACCAGACAGATGCTTTTATTATTTTCCCTTACTTTCTCCCAAAGAGAGTCTCTCTCTCTGTGTGCTGAGCTTCCTGGGTCTGGGAAAGCAGTGACACAAGCACCCCTGTGGCTACCACCACTGGAACTGTGTGGGGTTAGACCTGAACCAGCATAGCACTTTGTCTCACCCAGAGCCTGCTGTAACCACTACCTGACTTCTGTCTATATTTGCTCACAGACCTAGAGCTCTACAATCAGTAGGTGGTGAAGCCAACCAGGCTTGTATATTTCCATTCAGGGTGGTGAGTTCCCCAGGCTCTGGGCAGGTCTAGAGATACTATCCAGGAGCCAACAACTGGAGACAAAAACCTTATAAATCTACTTGGTGTTCTATTCTACCATGCCTAAGCTGGCACTTATATCATGAGACACAGACCTTCCCACTCTTCTCTCCCCTTTCCACAGGCAGAGAATCCTCACCCCATGGCCACCACCATCACAGGCCCAGCGGTAGTACTGTCAAACTACCACTGATGTTCACTTAAGGCCCAAGGGCTGTTCAGTCAGCATGTGGTGAATGCTGTCAGGCCTGAAACTCACCCTTCAGGACAGTGGGCTCCCTGCTGACCCCGGACAGGTCCAGAAATGCCATCCAGGAGCCATGTCCTGAAATCAGGGACCCCAAGAGCCTGCTTAGTACTCTGCATATTGCGGCCACGCTGGCATCAAAGGCGCAAGACAAAGTTCCCTTTACTTTTCCCTCCACTTTTCTCAAGCAGAAAGAACCTCTCACTATAGCCACCACAGCTAGGAATGTGCTAGGTCACACCTAAATCAGCACATCGCAGAGTGTCACCCAAGGCCCATGATGTACTACCTGGGTACTACTGCTGGCTATTCAGGGCTCAAAGGCTCTTCAGTCAGCAGGTGATTGATCCTGCCAGGACTGGGTCCTTTCCTTCAATGCAGTGGGTTCCCTTCTGGCCTAGAGTGTGTCTAGAAATGTTGTCCAGGAACTAGGGTCTGGAATGGAGGCATCATGACTCTGCTAAACACTAAATGATGACATCTAAAAGGCCACTAAACACAATTCTGGAGCTCAAGTAAAGAGCTGGTGCTAAAGGTGTGGCCAGTGGGAAAGAGAAGTGTCATTAAATCACAGAACGGACCTAGAAAATGAAATTCGTCAGGGAGCAGACAAATAGCAAGAAGAAAGGAAGAGCCAACAACAGAACCTGAGGAGACCACTACATTTAAGAAGAAAAAATTCCATAAGGAAATGGACCAATAAAGTCAGAGAACCCAAAGAAAATAATGTTAGCAAATTCAAGGACTTTCAGCAAGGAGAGTAGGATCTGAGAGATCAAGAAAGATGCTTGAATTTCTGTCAAGTATTTTAGTAGGTGAAGGAGAAGAAAAGAACAGCTAGGCTCGTCACAGCTCTTCTGTCCAGTGAGTAGCTATTGTATTTTTAAATTTCCTTAATTAAAGTGATAATACATCCCTCAAACATTTCCAAAGACCCCAAAATAAAACAGTGATTAAACTCATTAAACTACACATTAAATAAAAACAAATGTTTTAAAAATAAATCCCTAGGAATCTGGGGGGTAAAGGTGAGTATACCCATGATTACTAGATACCCATACTAGACTTAATTAAAAGGTGGTTTCTTTGGAACTTTTTCCTCTCCAATTGGCCTAATTTTCAAAGTGACCAGAAATATATGTACATATGTTTTAGAATAACAGTTACTACGTTATTATGTACTAGATACTGAGCTAAGCCCTTCATATGTATTGTCTGCTTCAATCTTCACAACACTGCAAAGTCAGTATCATGACCATACTCCTATTACAGGTAAAGAAACTTAGGAAAAGGTAAGGAACTTGCCCCAGGTCACCAGTTAGTGGCACAACATTTCTTCAACACAAAATTTGGAATATGTTTGTTGTTGCTGTTACTGTACTCATCACCACCCATGTAATTCTACCATAATAAAAATAAAAAGTGAGTTGAATATAAGGTACTGATCAGAACTCTTAACTGAAATAAGCAGACACCGACAAAAATATTTAGAACTGACATAAAATACTACCAATAACAAAATGACTTCTGTTAAAATCCTCTAAAACCTATAGGTGGGCTTCTCTTGAATTTTATTAATCTATTAATTCAACAAATATTTATTAAGTATCTAATATGAGCAAAGCATAATGCTAGGACTATGATGGATATAAATATATCTATGATATACTTCAGAAATTATATTCCAGTAGTATATTCAGCAACATACTTTGACTAACATTTAAGTAGATATCATAAATCCAAAATAGGGAAAGACAGGCAAATACACTCCAGAAACTAATTTTGAATTGCATATGTAGTTTTCTTTGTTATTTTTCTAAAGCACCATTATTATTGTTATTAGAAACTCACTGACCTGTTCATCTGAAACAGAATTTCCATTTAAGTCTGAGGAAGGGCTTGTCCGGTCACATGGAAGATTATCATCAGAGACATCAGTATTATAACCACTTCCGGTTGGAGAATCAGAAGAATTATTGGATGTCAGCACTCCACCCCTTTCTGTGTCACTAGCTTTACCCATAATTCCAAAACTGTTATATAAAACAGCACCAGACTGTCTTCCTCCTATAAAAATAAAAAAAAGTATTTATTATAAATGGTGGAAAAGTATCTTAATGCTGTACTCTACAATATCTGTATACAATTTCATAAAGACTATTTTTTTCTCACCAAGTCTTTGCCCTTATCTATAAAAGTAATGTATCATTGAATTATCAGGTAAGTAATTGTAGGCATATACAACTACTATTATTACAGTAGTTACTATTTTATATATTACTAAACCTAAAAAAAAGTGTTATACACATATCAACCTTCCTTTTTGAGATATTACTGAATAATATATAAGAAAGCATATATAATTCTAAGTAGGTATTTTTCACTGAATAAAGAATTTACAGTTTTTATATCCTATATGGCATAATTCTACTGATCAAAGATCCAGTTTTCCAAGATGCAAAGCTTCAAAAAATTGGGTGGCTTTACATTTTATTTGGGAATTCGTTCTGAAAAACATATTGTTTTTTTCAAGCTCTACCTAGTTTTAAAATCACATAATGGAGGAAAAGCTCCACTTCAGCAATTGGTATGAGGCACTCACCGCTGGTAAATAATCCCAGATACCACACTTTCTGCTTTATTATGTTGATTCAGGTTACTGAAAGCCATGATTGTTCAAAACATTTCTGCAATATAGGGCAAATTTGTCCCCAACTTAAGCAGAATTCAACAAAAAATACTTGCCTTTTATGGTTAAATTTTCAAGTCCACATTCAAACATTATCCATCCCCATTTTTCTTGGCTGGGACCTATTCGAGTTATATCTGGAACAGCTTGCTGATCAGTTTCATCCACAAAAGTAAATTCATCCAACTCTTCAAGAGTAAATAAAACTTTGGACTTCTCAAAAGGAATAGCAGTGATTGCACAGGTCCCAATGTCTATTATCAAAAGAGAGCAAAATGACCATTTTTAAAGATGTAAGCTTACACTAAAAAAAAAAAAAAAAAAAAAAAAAAAAAATTGGACATCTGGCACACAGGTTGTCTTTAAAAGATGTCTCAGTGCTCTGCCGAAGAGATAGAAAAAATAAACAAATGAGCTAACTTTTAGAATAATGCTGCCTAAGAGGAAGAAAAGAAGAATTTATGATTAACAAGTTGCTCAAAGATAGTATGAATCTGTTTCTGAATGATTACAGGATACTCTAAAAAATATAAAGTTAAAAATATCCTAAATAATTCATATTCACAGTAGTTTTAAATACTTTCATCATCTCACAAAATAAAAAAAATTTCAATTAATTACCAAGCGTTAGGAAAAACATTATTTTCTAGGCAAATTATAGCTTTTACTAAAAGACTGTTTTATACTAACATATTTTATATAACTACAATTTATCATAGACCTTGTCATGGTTCCATGGCTTACAGATACACCGTGGAAATTAACATCCCAAGTGCCTGGGAGAAGTTTTACTTTATCTTACTTTTTTCATTTCTCTCTCTGATTATCGCTAATGAATTAAAAAAAAAATATTTAAAACACACGTAAATTTACCATTCAAGGATAACTTGTTTATATTTGAAGTACACTGCCTTCTAGCCCTTTAGAGATCACTTTGCAAACCCAGCTTTGGTTCCCATTTTTCATGCAACAGTAAATAATTTCCTCAGGTCATTAAAATTTTTTCAAATATATAATTTTAATAGCTATATAATATTCCATCATATGGAAATGACATTCTTTGCATTTATAATTAAAAGGTGTTATTCAAAGAATAAATATTCACCTACATTTTCTTATAGTTTTCTCATTATTTAATTTTTTTGTATTTGTCTTTAATCCCATACATATCCAGATGTATCAAAGTTCAAAAAATTATGAAAAAGTACACAATGAAGCCTCTTACATCACAACCAGACACCTAGTTTCCCTCCCTATAAAGGTAACAAATATCATGAGGTTATTAAGTATCCTTTGGCAAATAACTAATGTACATATAAGCAAAGACATCTACATTTTTGCCACATTTTTACAGAAATGTCCAACTTGGAATTTCGTTGGGAGTTTTGTCTTCAATGAGAGTTTTTTCTGCATGATAATGCCTTTCAAAATTATATAAGGTTCTGCTTATGGTCTGTGTAATACCCGGTGCAAACTGGTTACCCGTGCAAACTACAGAGCTGATAAAAGTGTCTTCACTCAAGCCACCACATTTTTCACCAGTTTTAGGACTACAGATCTTAGGCAGTCATGAAAAGTCCCTTGAAAACCTCAGGTCAAAGGCTTTGAGCCTCATACCTGGGATGAAAAAAATAAGCCTTGAGAAAATCAAAACATGTACACAGACCCAGAATGCAGACAGGATCGTGGAAACTTCAGAACCTATAAAATACAGTAAGCAAATTCAAGGAATTCATTTGTTTATTCATTATTCAGGATTGGTCACCAGTCCCCCATAAAGATTTCAGCAGAGCAATCATCTCAAATATGATTAACAAATCTAACTTTTTCTGAATTGAATCTGACATTCTGAAATCATTTAAGTTTCTAAATAAGAAAATGTGCTAAATAAGAATCAAAAATATTAAAATGACGTATAACAGCTCTACTTTCTTTTTACCTCACTAAGGACTTTAAGAGAAATGTGTGTCACCTTATTGCTGCTACATTTTACAGGCTCTCTGGTTTTGATTAATATTATAATTAATTTTTTTAACACTGTTTTACACACAGAATGATTTAAAAAATAAGAAAGACTATAAAGATCACGTCCTTTCTGTTCTTTTTTTTTTTTTTTTTTTTTTTTTTTGAGACGGAGTGTCGCTCTGTCGCCTGGGCTGGAGTGCAGTGGTGAATCTCAGCTCATTGCAAGCTCCGCCTCCCAGGTTCACGCCATTCTCCTGCCTCAGCTTCCCGTGTAGCTGGGACTACAGGCGCCCGCCACTGCACCCGGCTAATCTTTTTTTTGTATTTTTAGCAGAGACGGGGTTTCACCGTGTTATCCAGGATGGTCTCGATCTCCTGACCTCATGATCCGCCCATCTCGGCCTCCCAAAGTGCTGGGATTACAGGCATGAGCACCGCGCCCGGCCTGTCCTTTCTGTTCTATAATGAGCAAGTAAATAGCATGGAAAAAACACATGGGAAATAGAAGCAGTTCCTAATATGGGACCATAACACTTAACTTTCTTACCAAAGTTTACTTTCTATTCTGTACAGAATGTGAGTGACAAGTAGCTAAATACCACATGTTCAGTACAGGGAGAAATACCTTTCTCTTTCTTATAGAATATTCAAATTGTATCAATAGTCAAAGGAAAAAACCATGTTCCCCTTTGCAAAAATCATCTTAGATTTATATATGCCAAGAAAAAACATATTGGTTGTAGAATCCTACCTGTTGTATCAAGACCCCTAAGTTGCCCATGAACTCGATGAATGTTTAACTTGGCTGCAATTTCTTTGCCTTTTTCTGCTCCAGCATTTGATCTGAGAGATCCAGATGACTGAGGCTGCATCTTTGTGGCATGAACATACCTATCAAAATTTGATGTTCTACCAGGTTCTGCATTGTTTGAAGTCTCTTCAACCACACCTCTTTATGAAAAAAAGAGAGTAAAATGTTCAACATTTAAATAACACAGTTCAGAGAAAACATTTTACCTAAAAGGTTTACTAAAAAAAAAAAAATACTCTACTATTATACACCAATAGTAGTAAAAAATTCTTCAATGTTTACTGAAAGATACTATGAATAGAAACAGTAAAAAAATTTTAAAGAAATATTTTACTAATTTATAAATTAAGATTTGAAATTCCAAAACCAATTTTGAGTTTTAACATTACCTTCTTAGAAATGTATTAAAAATAAAAGACGATCAAGGCTTGCTTTGACATCCAGCAAGATAATCATGGCTCAGATTAATAAAGTCTTTCTTACCTATTCATACGAACTTGTGTAGCAATTCTGTCAAAACACAATGCCACTAGGGAAACATGAGTCACACTCCTACTAGGAGCTGTAGTTGGAGATTCTTCCACTGAGGCTTGTAACAAACATAAGTTTACCTAACACACACACAAAATTTCAGAGCTGACAAGTGAAAAGTTATCACTTAAACATAAAATATGCACAAAAATGAAAAACTACTGTTAAGAATGGCATATCTATGTATCTGACAGTGAAGACGAAGCTTATGAATACAGATTCTCACAAAATAATCATAATTACATTTTCACTGCATGAATGTGAAACATTCTACTATTACCTAATATTCTGCTTAAGTAAACTATTTATATTACATTAAATCTACATTAGATCACAGGAATAAAACATATATCTTTTAATATTACACACTGTTCTACCATGATTCACGTTGGTAACTGAAAAGAACAAATACCATCAAAATGCTCTCCTCTTTCAGGAAAAAATTTTTAAATATTAAATTGTTACCTTTGGTATGCTAACATTAGTCTGAAGGCCTTTAATTGTTACATTATCTTGCTTCGTTATAACATTTGTCTGTGCTTGTCCTTGGTTAGTCGTTCCTATTGTAGGGTGCTCAGTTTTTGTTCCTCTAACGTCTTGTTTGGAAGATAACTAAAAAGATCATAAGTGAAATTATTTCACAAGCTTTTCATAACTTCCACGTCATCCACAACAGCAACTCACTTATTCACGCTGCCCCTCTATGCCCATCTATGTGCCAGCTGCATTCTAGTTTTACATCCCACCTTAAAATCCAAACCTTCGATAAGCTAGGAAATAGACTGGTAGCATCAGGGTTGAGAAAAGTAATACATATTAAATTGAAGTCAGCCTATAGAGAAGCAGACAGAAAAAATGATACAGTAATTATAGGCATTTTTTAAGATCACTAAACTCTACTGGCTTGAAAACAAACTTGGTTTCTGATAATTGGCCCCTTTTTGGCTAGGAACATTTTCAAATTTCTTTTTTTCACTCATCTACTCTATCACATGAAATGCCAATATACATTAAATAAATAGTTAACTAAAATAATCAGTCTCACTTTCATCTCTCTTCTGGTCGCTACTCCAAGTATAATCCAGATAAATTTGAAAATCAAATGGAGAAGCTCTGGAAGAGCACTGGGATATGACTGCTAAGCAACTGGTTTCGTGGCTAGAACCACAATGTAAGTAGAATATCACACAATGAGAGCAGTGACTTGATTCACTGAAGTGAATGAGGAAAATCTCAAAAGTAATACTAAGATACAAGTCATCTAATCATAGAGGAAAATCAAAACATAACCAGCTGTCTTAGAAAAGCAAGGTGTCAGTCCTAAAGAATATTCATTCACTTAGGGCCAAAGCTCTTTAGAAAAGGCTTGGAACTAAGCTGCTTCTGAAATAAAACAAATAAAGCTATTTAATATATTTTTTAAATAAATATTTTTACTACTAGTCAATCTGCAGTACAGTTATATGTCCTATCTTTTATGGAGCCAATGACATATAAACGCTTTTAGAACATGTCCAAATATTCTGATTTAACTTGTGAAGAAAATTTTTCAAGTTTGAATATTCTGTAACCATGATAAATATTCAGTTTGCTATGCCCACTGAATTTACAAGTTCTTACATTTTCTGAGAAGGTAGTCTTGCTATTTTGGACAGCTTCCCTGAGGACTTTAGCATGAAGATCATCTACAATTGCAGCTGGATGTCGGGTACTAGCACAATGAACCATTGCTTCAATATATCTGAGGGGAAAAAACAGTAAATGAAATATTTAAATGTCACTAATCCTACAACTTAGTTTATGTAAACATATCATGAAACATAGCACCATCTGAATATGTACAACAATCGCTCAACATTGAAATGAGAATGTCTAAGCCACATATTTAGAAATTATACAAGGGAAACATTTCTGAGGTTATCCCCACCATCACCACCCTCACCCCAAGAAAAAGTGTTCCACATTGGGCAATGATCTTTTCTTTAACAAACTTCTGAAGAATATTTCCTGTGTTCTTCATTTATATGACATATCATAAGAATCTTAATAGTATAAGTTATCAAAGAAAAATTATGGGCTTTTGCAGGAAAAGGAAGATTTTCATGAAAGCTCATCTCCACTGAACCCCTTTTCTCTTTCCAACTGCTTCTACACCACTTCCATTATGTTCTATTCTCATTTTTATTCATGTCAGTTTTATATAATATGTAATATTTTATATTATGGCAATATAATAATAAATTTGAATATACAGTCAGCTCTCCACATCTGTGGGTTCCAAATCCACACATTTAACCAAGCTCAGACTGAAAATACAGTATTCAAAATACAGTATTCATGGGATGCAGAATCCACCAATACAGAAGGTTGGCTTTTTTAATCCGCAGGTTCCACAAGACCAAATGGCAAGACTTGAGCATCTGTGGATTTTGGTATCCACAGCAGTTCTGGAACCAATACCCAACAGATACGGAGGGACAACTGTAATTATTTAGGCTGAGAAAGTAGCAAATGATAACTGAAACACAGACCTCTTTAAGCATATTTTCATTTTTATTCAATCAAAATAGCTATCAATAATCTTCTATATGAACATATATCACATATACTTATAACTATCAACAATCTTCTATATGAACATATCATATCACATATACTTATATCACAGAGTAATCATTGTATAAAGCAATAGTTGTATTTCTAGACAAAATCAATACCTGTCTAAAGCTTCAGCCACCAGGGGAGTCAAAACAATATCAACAGTTCCTTTTACTTCAACTATGGCTGTTGTCCTGGTCTGGGACACTGGTTGATCCAGGGTCCACTCTTCTGTTAATGTTTCATCATCTGTGTTATCAGCGAGTTTTTTTTCCAAAGGAGTATATGGAGTACTACACAATTTAACAAGCAAATCATACATTAAAAAGACCATGAATTAGAAGTTAGAGCTTCCTTAATGAGTGAACACATGCATTCATTACAACCATAAATTTTATGGAATTGGACTTTTTTTTGTTTTTGTTTTTGAGATAGAGTCTCACTCTGTCACCTAGACTGGAGTGCATTGGTGTGATCTCGGCTTACTGCAACCTCCTCCTCCCAAGTAGCTGGGATCACAGGCATGAGCCACCATGCCTAATTTTTTTTGTATTTTTGGTAGAGATGGGGTTTCACCATGTTGGCCAGGCTGGTCTCGAATTCCTGGCCTCAAGTGATCTGCCAGCCATGGCCTGTCAAAGTGCTGGGATTACAGGTGTGAGCCACTGTTCCTGGCCTGGACTTGACATTTTATGTCCCAAAGACTTTTCAAAGGCCAAAAGAAGTACTAAAATGCTAATTGATCAAAGATGGCTAATACATCGAATGAGAAAAAAATTTTAATATATTTACCTGATGTACCTTTTGCAAATTATGAAAAATATGATACTGAATTCTTATTAGTCACCAATTTTGATATGCCAAGTTATAGCATGTTTAATAGAAATGCTACTGACTACTTATAAATGTAGCCAAAGCCATAGCAGGCAAGAGAGCTGAATTATTTTGGTAATTTATTCTTAATATAAAGTTCATACTCAAATAAAGAATGATTATTCAGAATAAACTCAACCCATCTCATAATCAAGGCATACACTTTAAAAGCATGTTATTTTTACTTACTTTGAAGTTGATCCTGAAAGTTGCATGCCTCTGTCTAGCAAAGAATTAGCTGTGAGCCCCTGCTTGATAACCTAGAATATAAAAATACTATAGTCTAGATTTTTTTATATATTTCTCTAATTTTATATCAACTGATATATGTAAATATCTGAATTACCTAATATGATTTTGAGATATTTGATATAAACGTTTGACAAACTGAGCAAATCAAAGAATATATTCAATTGGCAGTTTCACTTTGTTGATTCAAGTAAATGGCAGAACAGGGTTGTGAGCGTAAAAGACTATAACTGAAACTTAAAAGCAAGTGTTTCAAATGTCTTTCCTCCAGAGTTTCTTTTCAAATTGAGTTTTTTCTCAAGTTAATTTTAGTCTTCTCCTAGCACAACCAACTTTTAAGTGGGAAAGAGAGCCACAGAAACATTAAACTATAGGAAAAACTATTCTTATATTTTATATCCATAAATGATAACATGGAAAATAAATAAATGAACCTGACTAACCAAATTGAACTTTTATAAATGCTAGTCAGTTATTTAGACTTAATGGCAAAAAATAACTTTCTTACCTCCCAGGTCACTTTTTTTTCCCCCCTAACTACCCAAGCCTCTGGTAACCACCATTCTACTCTCTACATCTGTAAGAGCTTGCTTAGATTCCACATGAGTGAAATCATGAGGTATTTGTCTTTTAGTGCCTTACTTATTTCACTTAACATAATGCCCTCCAGATTCATCCTATTGTCACAAATGACAGGATTTCCTTCTTCATGGCAGAATAGTATTTCATTGTGTATATATACTACATTTTCTTTATCTGTCCATTCATTGATGAACATTTAGGTTGATTCCATATATTAGCTATTGTGAATAGTCCTGTAATTAACATGGGAGTACAGACATCTCTTTAATAAACTGAATTAATTGCCTATGGATATTACCCAGTAGTGGGATTGCTGGATCATATGGAATCCTATTTTTAACTGTTTGAGGAATCTCCATACTGTTTTTCATAATGACTGCACTAATTTACATTTCCACCAACAGTGCACAATTGTTCCCTTTTCTCTGCATCCTCGCCAATACATGTCATTTTTTTGTCTTTCTGATAACGGCTGATGTTCTTTTTTTGAAGCTTTCTAAAAATATTAATTCCTTGACCTGTCTTCTCTAGAGATTTGACTGCCTAATCAAACTAGAAAGATTTATTTAAAATACTGAAATAATTCTATCCTCCCAAGTACTATTCTGCACAAAGGCCATTCAGTTTTACACTGGAAAATTCATATATCAACATATTTCCACATGGACTAAAAAGGACATTTTGAAAGCTTAGCATGGACAACTGGTTTTGGGCAAGATAAGAAAATAGTACAACCTTAAAAACAAAATTTTGCAACTGTCACTAATGTTTCTTCTTCCTTCAATAAGTATTATTCAAATGCCTACATAATCTATGAGAATATTCAACTCCATGTTTCGTGTCCCATCTTTACTAATACAGTTTACATCCAAGCCCCGGTCATTTCTTGCACAGACTACTGTGACATCTCCTAAGTGATCACCCCAATTCCTCTCTTGCTTAATGACAATTCAGTTCTACTTAGTGTTCAAAGTACATGAGATCATATTTCCTTAAAACTCTGAAGAGTTAATAAATGAAACTAAAATAAAATTCAAACTCCTGATGCCATGGTCTATAAGCTCTGAATGATCTGACCTTTGTTTAGGTCTCTAGCCTCATTATGAGCAAGTCTCCCCACTCACTATCTCTCGGGCATGCTGACCTCTTTCCCTCTTCAGGGCTTTAGAAAGGTGGTTGCCTCTCCCTGGAATGCAGTGCCCCTAGGTCCTCCTATCTTCAATTCCTCATCATCCTTCAAATTTCAGTCTAAATATTATCTCCTCAGATGGACCTTTCATCTCAATACAATCTAGGTGTCCCCACCCCTTGTTATTCTCTATCCCGGTATCCTTTGGTTATCATCATAGACTCTTCTCAATTTGTAATTATATACTGATCTATCTATCTATTAATTGTCAGTCTTCCACCTCTAAACCATAAGCTCCATATCCATTTCCCTCACCACTCTACATCAAATGCCTTGTTCAGAATACTATATAATAAATATCTGAATTATGAATAATTAAATAAGCATTTAGACACTTCAAATAAGTATAGTATTCATATTGGCTATAACCACTAAATTTATTTTGAGGTATTTTTAGCTTACCTAAAAAATTCTGTAATGCATTTTCAGAATACATTACAAAAATGCCCAACAACCATATTCATACTGAATTATAAGAACTCAAATGTCAAGTAAGTGGACATTGAAGACTTTGCATGGAAGGAGTTGATGAATTAATAAAAGGAACATTATTAGAAACTTCAAAATTTTATTTTTAAGACACAGAAAATATGAATTCAGAAAGAGTTGATCCAAATCTTTTTTTTTTTTTTTTTTTCCCCGAGATGGAGTGTCGCTCTGCCACCCAGGCTGGAATGCAGTGGCACGATCTCGGCTCACTGCAAGCTCTGCCTCCCAGGTTCAGGCCATTCCCCTGCCTCAGCCTCCCGAGTAGCTGGAACTACAGGCGCCCGCCACCATGCCCGGCTAATATTTTGTATTTTCAGTAGAGACGGGGTTTCACCATGTTAGCCAGGATGGTCTCGATCTCCCGACCTCGTGATCCGCCTGCCTCAGCCTCCCAAAGTACTGGGATTACAGGCGTGAGCCACCACATCCGGCCTATCCTAATCTTAGAGTATAATGCAGACACAGAATATGTGTTGATTAGATTAATGCAGTGACAATCAACTATAAACCATTTCTCAATTTAATTTACTTAAATTTCTAATATTCATCAATAACTCTGTGACCTATCATACATAAAGCCATGGCTTCAGAAAGTCTATCTCTCCGAATGGTAGCTAAAAAGAATGAGAGTAATTATGAAATAATTTCTTAAAAATCTATTTTTCTAAATAAATATATCGATGGAAACTAATGATTTGGTTTATACCTTAAAAGTTGGAACAGAAAGCTGTTCAAATGATGATGAACTTTCTTCACTGGTTGGTGTATCCAGATCAAGGGGACGATGCAACGAGGATTTAGAGGTTCTTTTGTTGGATGGGTGCTTAACTGACCAATTAATTACCTGGAACTGAGTAAGGTAAGTCTGATAACAATTCATCACAGGTTGTTGTGGAGTAATCTGTTCACTCTCCACTGTTTTCTCACCTTCTACAATATATAGATGCTCTATAACATCATCTTCTCCACCTAACGCAGAAACAAATGAAGCCTGAGAAGGATGAGTTTTGAATGGTAGAGTTCGGGAATCCTGAATGCTTTCTCCATGTCCAGTCAGTGGTCCTTCTACACTGTGATATATGGAACCCCTACTGTAGTCAATCTGCTGGGTTTGCTTTTTCTTCTTTTTTCTACCTGGGTAAGTTCCAGGGCCTTCATCACTGCTAATGGGCTCAAATTCCTCAGCAGCAGAAAAGTAGGCTTCACTATCAGCCATTGACATGCTGGAATCCATTGATCGATACTGATGAAATGAATTAGAGTCTGCAGATGGTGTATATGGGAATGAACCAAAACTTCTCCTCTGCTTTGGTGAGTCTAGTACATTCTCATCACTTCGAGAGACATCACTACTAAACTGGACTCCAACTGTTACAGGCTGCTTGTCCCCATAGAAAGCAGCAGTAAGACTCTTAGTACTTCCAAGACGCGTGGAACAGACAGAGGCTTGTCGTTTCAAGGGAGATCTAAGAGGAGACTGACCTACTGACTTATCCTGAGTATTAGGAGACACAGGGCTGTTTCCTGAAATTTCTGTAGGGATACTAAAACAGAAAGAAAAGCTATTACCATTTTCTATACATCATAAAATTTACTCTAAGCATAAAAAGAAATATCAATAAAAATCCTTTTGGTAATTTTAATCCTGTACTTTACAAATAAAAGAAAATCTACAATTTTATAATAAAATACCCAAAGTAGCAAAACAGTACAGTATGTGTTCATACCCCTCATTAGTTCCAAAAATTTTTGAGGTAGCTTAAAACACAATAAAAACTGAAAGAAACCCCAGAATGTAATCTAACCATAATCCATGGACACTAATGCATTTATAAAGTTTTTTTTTTCTTTCACATCCTTTAAAAACCTGTCCAATAAAATATACCAGGGGCCTTTGATTAAAGGAGACTGGAGGAAGAAGTTATACATAACCCCAGTATTTCTGACTTTAGTAACTGATGTAGTAGTGCCATTTTCTAAAGCAGAACAAGTTAAGAATGATAGGAATAAGGCCATTTTTAATATGTTGAGTTTGAAGTCTCCATGACATATCCAAGTAGATATATCAAGAAGGTAGCTAGGCCTTAGGAACAAAGGTTTTGGCTGGAGTTTTACATTTAAAAGATGTTAGAGAACATAATTGAAACCAAACAGTTATTGAGACTCCCTAGGGAAATAATATAGAATAAGTGGAGAAAAAGGAGAGAATGTTCAACAAAGGGCAGGCTATAAAAGGAAGAGAAAAAATAAAGGAGGAAGAAATGGAGGACAGGACAATGGAGACTGAGAAGGAATAGCCAAGGAAGTGGGAGGAAATTCTGAAATGTGCTATCAAACCAAGAAGAAACTGTGATTCAAGAAGGGAGTGGCCAACTATTAAGGTGCCAAGAGGAGGAACAAAAAGTATCCATTAGACTAGAAGGATAATATCTGAATGTTAACAGTGATTCACTCTGAGTGGTGGGATGACAAGAAACTTCCACTTTCATTATACTTTCTTGTACTTTCCTCATATCTGGAATGAATGACTTTTATAATCAGACAACGGCAAATTGACATTTCAAAATATGTTCAGATATACAGGAAACAATTTTCTAAAGTGGGGGAATGGAGAGGGAAGAAGTTTTCCTTGCCAGAATTTTAAACAATTATAATCCTATTTATGATCAGGCTTCTAAATCTAAGTGAATACTGACCTTGCTTGGCCGTCATCCCTTTTTGTCCCATGCATGAACTCTTTTTGAACCAAATGGTCATCAGCAACAGATGAGGGACTTTCCTTTTCACCAGCCAACAAAGGCTGTGCAGCACTAGAACTACTGTTCTCTTCTGAGGAAGAGGATGAACTATGAGATCGTAATGGTACTTGAAGACTAAGGTGCTGAGTTTTTCTCTCTACTTCTATTCCCACTGATTTATTTTCCCATTCTTTCCTCTTCATGGCATTCACATTACCTAAACAAACAAAAGGTGGGTTAAGTGAACACACAAAACTCAAAAGCAGTTTATAAAAAACCATGGCAATCTATTCCATTTTTAAGTACAATCTTTTCTTTTTTTTCTTTTTTTTTGAGATGGAGTCTCGCTCTGTCACCAGGATGGAGTGCAGTGGCACGATCTTGGCTCACTGCAACCTCTGCCTCCCGAGTTCAAGAGATTCTCCTGGCTTAGCCTCCTGAGTAGCTGGGACTACAGGTGTGTACCACCACACCCAGCTAATTTTTGAATTTTTAGTAGAGAAAGGGTTTCACCATGTTGGCCAGGATGGTCTTGATCTCTTGACCTCGTGATCTGCCCTCCTCAGGCTCCCAAAGTGCTGGGATTACAGGCATGTAAAAATAACGAGTGACTAATTTCATATAGCAATTTGTTAAACATTTTAGAAATATATCTACATAAGTATAGATCCCAGGCCCATAAACAGTGAATTTTTTTCTTCTTTTTAAATCTTTTATTGGAAAAATTTCAAACTTACACAAAACTTTCAAGAATAGTACAAAGAACACCACATATCTTCTACTTGGATTTACTTATTTTAAGCATTTTCCCCCTTTTACTCTAAAAGTTCAATGTTGACAGGGACTGTATCATTTTTCATTCACTGATGTACCTCCAGTGCCTAGAACAATGTCTCATACACAGAAGGCACTCAATACATGATTTTGTGAATAAATAACGACTTTAGGATCAGAGTGAAGCACCACTGTTTCAGAGTTTCATAAAGACCTTTGTGATGTGTTACATTGAGGGGCTGGGGGAAATAAAAAGAGAATTCTATAGCTGTCTAGATCCAAAAAAATAAATCTTGCTCAACTTCCCCTCTCCTCCTACCATCCCAGTTTTAGCCAAAAAAAGTAAACCCACTAATGGAGAAAACATCTCTGTGAACAGAATGCAGTTCTAGTGGCATTCAAGGGGTAAGAGTCGTAAACCTAAAATATAATATTTACTTCTAGTACCACAAATGTAAAACAGAGCAATGAAAGTCAAAAGAAAAAAATGGTCTTGATTCACTTCTAAGTGATACAGGAACACAGTGTTCACTGAGAATCACCAAGAGATACAGACGCTTCCTATTATACATTATAAGAATTTTACTTTTTTCAATGTTAGGAAGAGAATTTACTATTTTCCTCCTTTCTCATCATGTATAAATTCCCTGCAAATATTCTTTCTTGAGTTTGTGATGGTTAATCTTTGAAAATCAAGCAATCTTTATAATTAGCGCCAGTTATAGCACAGTAGAGAGAACAACAAGGTGGCTTCAAAGGCCCTGATTCTAGTTTCCTCTCAGCCATACCTGGCTGTATCACTTCATGCAACTCAGTCTCAGTGATAGGCCTCAGTTTCCTTCCTACGAAACAAGGATAATGTCCACTTTACGTGGTAGCTTAGGGATTAAATGAGAAAATGCCAGTGTAAACCTTTAAAAATGAACATTATTCAAACATAAAAAAGTTATATAAGACAGCTAAATTATTACAATCTATCTTATCACTTAAATGCCAGGAAGTTTTGGTGTTTGCTGATTTTATAAGATAATCTGCTCTCATGCTAGCAAACCTACCAAAGTACCTTAAAATAACTTGTTCACACTTACACTACTCAGTAAAAAATCATTTAAACAGGAATTTAGCATATGTAGTCCACCTGTTTGTTTCCTCTAAGAGCTTCTACACATGGGAAAGCAATCTGATAAACTCTTAAAGGTAAAATTACCCTTTTCCTATCTTTTTTTGTCTACTGATAAAAGGCAGAGGTAAATTAATATTTTTAAATTAATTAAGGGGAAATGGCTAAATATTCATGAAGTATCAAGACTTTTCTGCTTTTAACATCTTCACAGCATGGCAACTTAAGCAGTAAATATTGCACTGAATCACAGGAATACACAACTAAAAAAATCCAGAGGAAAATCTGTTTCTGAAGTCTCTGGAGAAAAGACTCTAGGTAAATCTAAATATAATACACTTAAAGTCACTCTTCACTGCTCATACCAAACTGATGTATTTGCAGAGTTATGCTAAAGATTCTAAGACCAGAGTTCTTTTCTTGACATGTTTAATTTTACTGATAAGGAAACTATTTTGCAAAAATAATTGGTAACATGGGGGCCAATAGTATAAATATTACTATTCAAAAGTTTTCCTATAAAAGCAAGCTGGTGAAACAACTGTTACCTTGAAGCACAGCTATTCCTAAGTATTTATCTGGATGCTGTGTTACAGGAAAATAACAATATGTAAGGAAATATTTAGAATAAACTCCATGAGGAAAGCCACCCACATCAACAACAGAAGATCTGAATAGCAGACCTACTTCTGCCCCGTGTAACTCCACAACAATCACTAGTTTTATCTGCCTTTAGTTAAGTCATGTGCAAAACAAAGGTGGATTATACTAAACCCTACTCATAACATTACACAAAATAAATTGAGTTGAACAGAGTTAACACTGAATTTCTCTCAGAATGGCCTAGTGATAAAGAAAATAAACAACTAGCATAAGTGACGAAACATTTTATTACCATCTATAATTTTGGGAATTTCTTTAGTAATTATCCATTCTCCAGGCTGTAGCAGAGACTGTCCATAATACATATCAGACTCTGCACTTGTGCTTGAAAACGCAGAGCTACTGGAAGGTGTCAACTCTTCAAGTTTGAAGAAATCTAGGCCAGTTACTGTGCCACCAAAGAATCTGCAGCCACCAAGACAACCACATTTGTTTCTACACCTCTTATTCTTCAGGATATCATCTGGCCACAAAAACCACAACCTAAATAGAACCCAAAAGAAAACAAAAAACAACAATATAAAAAACAAATCATTAAGAAATGAAAAGCTTTTTGAGAGATAATTAAAGTTAATTGTAAATATTTTTAAATGACAAAGTAAACACAAAGGTTTATTCCTACTGTGTGTGTTTTTTTTTAATCATTTGCCTTTCTAAAAACATACAGTCTTACCAGAGCAAGTGAGATGGAAATTATCAGAATCAATAATAATACAGATATGGCATACATTAAAAAGCCCAAAGCATTAAAAAACAGCAAATATAAAAATCAGACATTTAAGTCCAGTTTTACAATGTAGTAAACATTCCCAAAACAACTAAAATTTTAAGACATTAATCCAAAAAAACCATTAGTATAGATTATGCTTGATAGCTCATTACCTTTAGCATCTCAGAGCCTATTTCACAATGCAAATTTAAAACACTAAAAAATTACAAATATGGAGCAACTAAGAAATTATTTCTCAATAAAATTAAAATAATGAACTACTCCATATTTTAGAGAAAAATAATATCCAGGTCTACTCCTTTGTAATAAGGACTCCAAATAAAGTATTAAACATGCATGTAAACTTCGGGTTCTGTGTAAGTGACTCACAGATCTGTCAGTATTTATTGACTCCCCTCCTTTCTTAAAAAATAGGGCTGAGGCAGGAGAATGGCGAGAACCTGGGAAGCGGAGCTTGCAGTGAGCCGAGATCGCACCACTGCACTCCAGCCTGGGCGACAGAGCAAGACTCTGTCTCAAAAAAAAAAAAAAAAAA